AGCACCCCCACCCCCGCACGCGCGCGCACACACACACACACACACACACACACACACACACACACACTCACCCTCCTGACTCTGCACTGAGGAGTTACTCCTGGCGGTGCAATGCTCAGGGACCATGTGAGATGCTGCGGATCGAACCTGGGCCCGCCCGTGCAAGGCAAGTGCCCTCCCGCTCTACTCTCCCCAGCCCCTGCCTTCACAACTTGAAGGGTAAATGGTGTCCACCCAGCACCCTCAGCCAGACGCACTCTGCCTATCAGACACGTCACTCCTAAAATTTCACCCTTGTGTGATTTTCAGGTGTCCTGGGAAAGGAGGGAGGGGTTAGGGCTGGGAATTGGGGTTCCGGAGCTCCCTGCTGCGTGGAGTGCAGTGAGAGGAGGCTGAGGGTGGCTGACCCGCACGTCTCACTCAACAGAAGAACTGCCTTAAGGGCTCCAAAGAACTAAGAAACCAGATGCAAGTTTCCTGGCCAGAGCACTGCTCAAGGGCTCAGATCAACAGTGATTCTTTTTCTTGCTTCTTCTGGTTTGGGGCCACACCCAGTAGTGCTCAAGGCTTACTCCTGGCTCTGCATTCAGGGATCACTCCTGACAGGGCTTGGGAGACCATACAGGGTGCTGGGGGATCGAACCCAGGTCGGCAGCAAGTGCTCTCCCTCCTGTACTATTGCTCCAGCCCCTGATGTGTGATTCTTGATTAATTCTGTGAGAAGCAGTGAGAGTGAAGCCGGCAGGTAAGACAGGGAAAGTCCCTGAGCAATGAAACTTAGGTCAACAAAACTTCTGGGAGGAAAATTCTAAGGCTGGTCCACCCTGTGGATACAAAAAAACAAAAACCTGATAAGACCTTCAGCAGACTCTGAGGATATTGGACCCCTCCCTATGAAGTTCCTCAAACCCTCGAGCCTCTCCCTTCATCTGATTAACTTGAATGATTCAGCCCACCTTAAACAAAGGAGGAGCATGCTTATACCGCCTGAGCCTGTGTGATCGCGCCCGCATGGCTGCACACATGTGTCACCCGAACACATGTGTCACCCGCATCTCCCCTCTCGAGATGTGTACTTGCATGTCTAATGCTGGGATGTGTCTAGGGGCTCTCTCCGCCCTTGGAGAAGCTCAGGTTCTCTCGAGTGCATTACTCTCTCTCTCTCTGCCCCCCCTCAAAAACTCTCTAAATAAAATCTATTTACTTCACTGCTTGTCTGCTCCTGAAATTCTTTCCTGCGAGGCAAGACAAGAACCCTCCGGTCCCAGATGACAGAGGCAGATCAGGAGAAAGTGACTGTCTCTCTCCTCCCCGCTTCACAAAAGTCACCGTGGGGTCCACCGGCCTCAATAGGACAGGAGCTAAGGAGTGCAGTTGGCCCAGGCACCCTCCAAAGAACCACACAGGGCTCTGGAGCTCGCCAGCAATGAGCCCTGAGCACAGAGCTAGGAGTCAGCCCTGAGTACAAAGCCAGAAGTGACCCGGAGCACAGTCAGCCCTGAGCAGAGCCGGGAGTGATCCCGAGCACAGAGCCAGGAGTGACCCTGAGCACAGAGCCAGGAGTGATCATTGAGCACAGAGCCAGGAGTCAGCCCTGAGCAGAGCCGGGAGTGATCCTGAGCACAGAGCCAGGAGTCAGTCCCGAGCACAGAGCTAGGAGTGACCCCGAGCACAGAGCCAGGAGTGATCACTGAGCACAGAGCCAGGAGTCAGTCCCCAGCAACGGGAGCGCTGACCGGGAAGCCGGGGCGAGACCCGGCGACCGCCTGGTCGTCCACCCACGCGGCGAAGCCCGTCGGAGCGCAGCGCGCCTGTGACGTCACAGCGGTGCCGGCGCGAGGGGCGGGGCCGCGGCAGGGCGGAGGGCGGAGGTCGGCGTCGGGGCGCCCGCGAAGTTAGATCCGGCCGCGGAGGGAGCCGCTTCCGGCGGCAGGGCGGCTCCCGGCGGCCCCCGCGGCCGGCGCGCGGCGCTTCCTGGAATTGACGCGAGACTCCGCCCGCGCTCTCGCGAGACCGCGCCCGCGGGGGCGGGGCGGGGCTGCCCTGGCCGCACCGTTGGGCGTTGGGGCCTCCGCCCTCCGCCTGCGGCCCGGGACCCTCTCCCGGGAGCGCCCGCGGGGCGCGCAGAGGCCGGAGCGGGGCCCCGCAGTCACCGTGACCTCCGCCCGGGGTCCCGGCAGGGCTGGGGGCCGGTGACGGCGACCCCGGGCCGGGCTGGGGCCGGTGACCGTGACCTCGGGGCCGCCTTCAGGGCAGGGGACGGGGGACGTGCCGCGTCCTCTGACCTGGGCAGTGGCCCGCGTCCCCGTCCAGAGGCCCGGGACAGCTGAATGGCCGGGGAGCCCCTGGGCCCGGCGCCCCCTCGGCCGTGCCCGAGCCCCCGAGAGGACCGCGGCCGCGTTGGTCCGCGAGGGGACCGCGTCGGGCACTCGCCCGCTGCCAGCCCCTCTCACCCCCAGCATCGGAGGGGGTCTCTGGAGTGACCCCCGAGTGCTGCCGGGTGCCCCTCCCCGCGTCATTGGGCTGGGAGATGGTGAGCCTGTGGTTTGATCCCCCAATGCAACCCAAAGTGGTCCCAGGAGTCGCCCCACCCCGCAGGCACCACTGTGCCGGCACAGATGTTTTTACAAAGACTGTCCTTTGCTCCCTCCTTGGTTACAGGAAGGGGCCTTTCCCCCGGGAATGCCAGTTTAACCAAAGGACAGTCACGTTTCCCTTGATGTAAAGTTGGGGGCCTCAGGTGGCACGCTCCTAGTAACAGAATTTGCTAGAATCTAACCAGGGCACGATTGGACAGATGCAGCCCGATGCAAGGTCTATAAAAGCTGTTGACCCCGGGCCAGAGAGAGTAGTGAGTAGGGTGCTTGCCTTGCACACAGCTGACCTGACTTTGGTCCCTGAGCACAGCCAGATGTGGCCCCCAGACAAGACACAGTTGATCCAGACGAGATCTCTCCATGCCCTGTTCTAGGTTCTAGGACAGGAAAGCTGGGAGCATAGAGACCGGCTCTTCCCAGCTGGTGCTGTTGAGTCCCAGGTCGCAGGCGGCTCAGAATGCTGGGAGCTGACAGTGGCCCCGAACCGGGCTCCCTGGATGGGCTCCTTTGCTGTCTGAAGCACTCAGCTGTCCAAAGGGAAGTGAAATGGCTTTCCTATGACATTCTCCAGAGCAGGAGAGAGCAAGGCCCAGGGGCAGCCCTCAGCACAGTGGTCCCCAGGGCACCCCCAGAAAAACTTGTTTTAACTGCCAGGACTGAGGAATCACACATTGTCAAGGGCAGGGAGACATCAGGCTTGCGGGGTCGGGCAGTCCAGTGGGGGGGCCAGGCCCCACCCAAAGTACAAGGGATGGGCAGAGAAGGGCAGGAGCGGAACTCAGCCACTTGGCCGCCAGGCCTCTCCCTGATGGCACAAGACGTCATCCTGGCTGTGCTCTTTGCCCGTGACCCGGTCCCTGGCACAGACCTATACCCAGAGACTCACTCACCACTTCAGCATCACAGTCTAGCCTTCGTGGCCCCAAGTCCACTCCTGACTAATGATCACTGCCGAGAAGGGAGTAAAACAAGCCCGGGACATTACCCCGTGGTCCAAGTGACCACGGGAGCAGAACTGTGAGGCTGGCCTGTGCCCAGTTCTCCCCTGCAATAGGGGCCACTGAGCCTGCCTGGGCAGAGACCCAGCACCATCAGCAGCCAGGCCTCCCGCCTTCCCTGCCCGGCACCCAGTGATCTTATCTCCCGAGCCTGTCATGCAACTGACCCTGGGCGGCCTCTCAGCTCCAGGGTCCAGTGTACAGTTTAACAGACTGGAAGCAGGAAAGTGGAAGAACTGTCTTTAACTCAGAAGCAACAGGACTTTTCCAACCCGGAGGCCAGAGCTGCTGACCCTGAGCTTGTCCGTCTCTGCAGGAGTTGAGGATTAAAAAGAAACGAAAATAACATCTCGATTTGATGAGCTAATGCAAAGAAAACGCTGCTCCCTGTCCCGCTGCCTTTAGGGGGAAATTCTGGTCCGGAGACCTGGGGCAGGTGGAAGTCAGTGGAAGAGCACTCTCTTGCAGGGAGGGGACCCCTCACTGTTGGGGCCAACCCCGGGTAAACAGGCCTGAAGCAGGCGCACCGTGAGCACGAAGAAAAAAAAGCCTGTGGTCAGGGGGCCAACAGCCTGGCGGACTGACGGTGCCCACTACCCAAAGCTTAAGATGGACTCGAGCCAAGAAACAAATCTGCAGACATCCTCTGGTTGCCTAGACTTGCGTACCTGAGGGGGCTGGTCAAACAGAAACAGGTCTAGCTAAGCATAAACGTTTGGGCTCCTGCATCCCGGGGTCCGGTCCCCCACGACCAGTTCCCCTTTGGGCGGGGCCGAGCAGACCCCTAAGGAGGGCGGCGGCGGCACCTACACCTGCCCGCACGCAGGCTCCCTCCTGGGGGCCCGGCTTGGCCCCCGGTGGGCGCGCGCTGCCCCTGGGGCCACAGCCGGTGGTGCCCAGCGGCACATCGGGACGGCCCGGGCCGGCGCCCCCGGCCCGGCGCCGGTTCTCCGCGGTTCGACAGCGCGTCCGCAGTTAGGCTCGGCCCGGCTTCCAGGTTCCATTTAAGCCGCTCGGAGCAAGTTCCTGGGGCCGCCCCGGGGGTGCCCGGCGTGTGCAGTTCGGGGAACCAACCAGGTGGCTCGGCGGCCGGGAAGGCCAGGGACGGCCCCGCCTCTGAGTCACGGGCCCGGCCGGGAAACGGCGCCGCCGGGACGCGGGGGACCTCGCGGGCCGGGGGCGGGGCCGCCGGTGCGCGTGCGCGGGGGCAGAGGCGGGGCGCGGCGCGGGGGGCGGGGCGGCGGCGGGCGCCGGGGCGCGTGCGCGGGGGCCGAGGGGCGCCCGTGCGCGTGCGCCGGGGCGGGACGCGGGGCGGGGCGCAGGGACTCGTTGTCGCGCGCGCCGACGTCGCGCGGAGGCGCACGCGGCGCGGCCCGGAAGCGCGGCGCGGCGGCGGGTCGGCCGGCGGGTCAGTGGCGGGCGGCGTCGGGCGTGCGTGCGGCGGCCGGGCACCATGGCGTCCGCGCCGCACCCCAGCGCCGCCGCCCCGGGCCCGGCCTGCGCCGCGGCGGCGGGCGGCATCCTCATCGGCGACCGGCTCTACTCGGAGGTGTCGCTGACCATCGACCACTCGCTGATCCCCGAGGAGCGCCTGTCGCCCACGCCGTCCATGCAGGACGGGCTGGACCTGCCCAGCGAGACGGACCTGCGCATCCTGGGCTGCGAGCTGGTGCAGGCGGCGGGCATCCTGCTGCGGCTGCCGCAGGTGCGCCGGGCCCGCGCGGGGGCTGGGGGGGGCGCCCGAGGCGGCGCCGCTGACCACGCTCTGTCCGCAGGTGGCCATGGCCACGGGCCAGGTGCTCTTCCACCGCTTCTTCTACTCCAAGTCCTTCGTCAAGCACAGCTTCGAGGTGAGCGGGGGCGCGGCCCGGGGGGCGCCCTTGCGGCCGCCCCGGCTGACCGCCGCCCCTTGCAGATCGTGGCCATGGCCTGCATCAACCTGGCGTCCAAGATCGAGGAGGCGCCGCGCCGGATCCGCGACGTGATCAACGTCTTCCACCACCTGCGCCAGCTGCGGGGCAAGAGGTGAGCCCGCGCGCCGCGCGCGCCCGCCCGCCCGCCCCTCCGCGCGGGCCCCGTGGCCCGGCGCCGCCGCTAGACCCGCCCCAGCAGGGCTGAGGACCAGGCCCTGCCTTAGGATTAAGCAAGAAAGGGATTCCCCTGGCCGAGGCGAGCGCTCTGTAAGTCATCCCGCGCCGGGCGCTCCGACTCCCTCGAAGCTGCTGCGGCTGGCCCCCCTCTCCCCCCGCCGCCCCGGGGCCCTGGATCTGCAGGAGCCCGGGAGGGTGCAGGGGGCGCCGCGGGCCCGGCCCCGGGCGGAGGCGCAGGGTCGGAGAAGCAGCGCCCCAGGGAGCGAGGGTCAGGCGGAAACGGGCCCTTCCGGCGGGCCTGGCCCTGGGCCCGCTTGGGGCCGCCTCCCCTCCAGGTCAGGTGGCCGGCGACAGTGCAGGCTAGGTCGTGGCTTTCGTAGCGAGGTTCCCGGATTCGAAAGGAAGCAGACCAGGAGAGCAGCTTCAGCCTTCCCTGGAGGTCAGGGGAAGTTGGGCTGGGGTCAGTGCCGAGGCAGCAGCGTCAGTGAGTGCCGGTCGGTGTGTCGGGCCTATGCAGGGCAGCCGAGGCAGGTCTGTCTAGTTACAGAGCCCGCAGCAGTGCTGCCCAGCTCGCTTCCCCCGCAGTTCCTCCGTTTTTTACATACCCTCCCTCCCATTTTTGTCTCATTTCCCTCTGAGCGTACTCAGGGTTAGATGATTTTGTTTCACTGTAAAATATCTTTAGCTCTAAAGAATCCCTTGGAAAGGGAAGATTTCAAAGTTTTCAGGTTACTTAAATAATACTAAGGTTTTTTATCTTGAACTAAGTGGTTCTGTGCTGCATAAAGGAAGTCTTTTTCATTTACTTGTAGTAGTGTACTTTGTACTACAGAGCCAGCTGTTAAGCAATCACTTAAAAGGATTAGCTACTTTGAAATCTTTCCATGTGAGCCAAGAGTATTTTCTTTGGTGTATAGTAGATCCTACAAAAAAAAAAACCCTTGGAATTAAAATATCACCTGTTTCTGGTATAAACAGTGTGTTTCTTGGATATTACAGAGAAAGATCTTGCCTCATTTTGATTATAGCATGATTTTTAAAGGCGTTAATTGCATGGACACCTTTTTTTTTTAAGCACGATATGAAAGTGTTTCTATGCATATTACAAGTTTACTCAGACGTGTAACTTGTATATGTTATTAACTTCAACTCTTTTTTCCCTTGCAACCGACTATACAGCGACCAGCTACATTTACCAAAGCCTGGGTGATGTGGAGTGGTACATAGCGATGAAGCTGTCGTCATGGCAACAGTGAGTGAAGTATCGAAATCCCCAAGGAGAAGCCAGTGCTCTGAGAATAGGTCACTGGAATCGGGGACTAACAGGTCGGCCACTGGTGAACCATTTAGAAAAACTCCTGTTTCTTGTTAAAAGCTTTTGTCTTTGCTGTCCAAGTTATTACAACTGTGGTTTAAGGCTTCTGTTGTAAGTTAATGTTACGGATACAGCTTACTTGTGTTAACTACCAAGGCAGTTTTATCTTTTTGTCTCAATGCTGGATGAGACCAGCTGAGACTGGCGTCCGTTTGTTGTTGTTTGAGGGCATCTCCTTCCCCTTGGCGCGCTTGAGACTCTCCAGAAGCGCTTTAGCAGGCCTCCATGGGCCCCTGCCCCTGTCCCGTGGGTGTCGGTGTAGGGCCTGACCCGGGCCTGGATCCTCCTTAGTTCCCAGCTTGTGTCTAAGATGCCAATGGCGCATCCTTGGCAAAGAAGCGTTTTCTTGGAAGGAGCCCCGGCCTGTCTGGTGAATGTAGCAGGACTAGGCCTCCCCCCGTGATCGTGTGGCCTGCACAGTCCAGTCCCCGTGACACATGGGCCAGTGACTCTTCGGCTGCGCCTGAAGTGCTGCCTGCAGACACCCAGGCCGTTCTATCTGGTGATTATTCTTGGTTTGGGAGCCACACGGCAGTGCCTGGGGGCACTCCTGTCAGGCTCAGGGGACCATAGGGGGTAGGCTAGGTGGAGGCACGCTCTCGCCCCACTGTACGATGGCTCTGGCCACAACATTTCATTCACTAATGGGCGTCGGGAGAGTGGGCACCTCGGGAGTGAGGTTGATGGGATTGGGCCTCCATGTCTCTCCCCTCAACCCCAATTAGGCTCTTTTTTTATTGATGGGGAGGGAGTGCACGCCACAGTGCTCAGGGCCAGAATTTACCCTGGGCTCGGGGTTGAGATAGATAATCAGGATCTGCTGAAGGCAAGACAGACGAATACTGGATGTGCTCCGAAAGCCGTTTTTCAGAGATATGCGTTTGAAGTCGGTCGTCCCATCCCAAGAGACTAGGTACTCAGTCTCAGTCCCCGTGTTCGGGGCGTCTGGTGAAGACTGAAGTCGGTTTTTGTTTGGAGGCCCAGCTCAAGGGTGACTCTTGGTGGGACCCTCGGACCCCAGGGGTGTCGGAACTGAACCCAGGGTGGGCCCTTTACTGTGCTGTAGCCAGGCCCCCAAAGTAGCACGTTTTTGAAATGTTAAGTAGAGGGGGTAGAGTTTGGTCTTGTGTTAATGGAGGTTGAAGTGGGTTGTTTTGTTTTTCAGTGAACATTTGGGGGGGGGCATACCCCATGGTGCTGAGGGTTGGTTCCTGGCTCTGCACAGGGTTTGGGGCCCAGGACAGTCCTGGGAGGCCCCTGGGTAGCCCCTTGTAAGACAAAGCCCTTGCTGGCCACTGTCTGTACCCAGACAGTTGTTTCCGGCTTGACTGAGGCTAGAAGAACATTGTAGCAACCCTCCTTCCATGGGAGTTACTTAGTGATACTTTGTGACTCTAAGCAGAGAAAGTAATACATTATGGAAATAGCTCTAATGATACAAAGTAATCTCTGTGACTAAGGCAACAAAGTATTTAGTGCCTCATGGAAATGGCTCTCTAATGTTACAAAATAATCTCTATGACTAGATGTCCATTTGTTGGTGAACTAAACCAATTCTAAACAAAGTAAAAGCTTTGGGTTTTCCTCCTGCAAAGCCCTTAGAAACTGGAGTTCCTAGCAGTGGGGAAGTTTAGCACCCTTGAACGGGATCCCCTATCTGCGCTGGTTTCCGTCATCTTGTTGTTTCTGGACTCCAAAGGTGAAGGAGAGCTTGTGGCAGAATGAATGAGCTTGATTTGGCTACTAGGTCATAGCCAGAATTAAAACTTTCTAGTGGCGTGACTTCTGCTTGAAGGCAGCTCATAACAGTACGCTTAAGCTGGGTGCCTGGGTTTGCCAAGGAAAGTGGGACAGGACTGCCCTCCCTCCCCAGGCTCGCTTGCCCCCTCCCCTCTGCCCCAGTGCTGACCCTCAGCTTGAGGCTGGGGCGCTGGTTTCTCAGATTTCCAGTTACAATGGTAAAACCTGAAGACCATCCCAGGAGTCTGTTCATGTGCCTTCGTTCATTGCACGCATTTGACAAGCTTAACTGACTTTCTGTGTCAAAGAGCAGTTCACTGTCGCTTGTCGTGATGCACACTGTAATGTCGGGGTTCAGCCGGTGCCCTGGCTGGTCAGTGACCTCGGTCCTCACCTGTCACCCAGAGAAGGTGACAGGCAGCTTTGCCAAATAAGGGATTGGGTGCTGGTAAAAAGCCATCTGGGTTGGGAGAGTTTGAAAGACATTTCATTTTCTGTCATAGTTTTTATTGAAAGACATTTTAGAGATGTGAGGGGAGAGAAATAATGATAACATTCAAGAGAGAGAGCATGGGGCAGGGGAGGGCGTTTCCCTTGCACGAAGCCAGCCCAGGGTCCAGCCCCATTGTCCCATATGGCATCGCCGGGTGCGGCCCAAAATCCAGCAAAAGAGAGAACACTGGTGGGGACTGGAGCGATAGTACAGCTGGTAGGGCGTTTGCCTTGCACGCGGCCAACCCGGGTTTGAGTCCCAGCATCCCATATGTCTCCTGAGCGCCACCAGGAGTAATTCCTGAGTGCAGAACCAGGAGTAGCCCCTGTGTATCCCTGGGTGTGACCCAAAAAGCAAAATAAAAAAGAACACTGGGCAGGAGCGATAGTACAGTGGCAGGGCGTTTGCCTTGTACGCAGCCAACCTGCGTTCAATCCCTGACACCCCATATGGTCCACAAGCCTTTCTCTGTATTTCTAAGCGGGAGAAAGGAGTCGGGTATCACTGTGTCTTTGGTCAGGATAGCTCATGCGTGGGTGGGGTCACTGCCACACTTTCAGGGTGTTCTCTGCCTTCTGGGTGCCTGGTTTCCCGTTATGTGGCAACATGCGAGAATGGGAGTTTCTGAGTTCGGAGGTGCTCAGGCGGATCTTGATTCGGTCCAGAGCAAACGCGGTGGTGTCTGCTGGCCAGGAATGAGTCGCATAGAGCTGGGAATCAGTTTCTTAATGGTATTTTTGCTGGTTGGACGTAGAGATGCGTCAATGTAGGGCATTTATCAGCTTTAATGTGAAAGCCCAATCCCAGCTACAGACCCCCTGCAGTTCTGTCTTAGAGCATCTGTCCTGGTGTTGGTTCCCACTGGCAAGGTGTGGCCTGGGGGCGCTGGGGCAGTGCCCGGGCAGACCCGGCCCAAGGCCAGTGTTCTTCCTGCCCTTGGATCTGATTTTAGAAACGTCTGTCATTGAGTTGAATTTAGTTTTCAGGTTATTTTTCTTAACCAGATGCTGATGGTCAGGGTTTGATTAAACAGTCGGGGCGCTCTGCATTTGACAGCCCTTTCCCCTTCGTTGTCGATTGATTGAGTCAGGTGCCGTAGACTCCAGATCACTGGGAGCTTGAGCGGTTCCATTGCCAGCCTTTTCGAGAGTGCGTTTTGTCCTTGGGGAGCATTGATGAATATCTGTCACACCGTAGTCAGTCCTTCAGACACGGGTGTGACAGCAGCAGCAGGATCTAAGGCTGAGTGGTCTCTCCGGGGCCAGTGTAGGAGCACGTGTTGTAGAGCATAACTTGGACAGCACAAGATGAATGCTTTGACTTGTTTGCAGGAGTTTACAAAGCTGGTTTCTGTTGCCAATAGTTGGTTGGAAGGGAAAACGGAGCTGCCAGAAATACCAATTTTTGGATGTGCAAACAGTCTTGATTTTATTTCCTACAAACTATAGGACTCCAAGCCCCCTGATCCTTGATCAGAACTACATTAACACCAAAAATCAAGTTATCAAGGCAGAGAGGAGGGTGCTGAAGGAGCTGGGGTTCTGTGTCCATGTCAAGCACCCCCATAAGGTGAGTGGCAGGGAACGGAAGTGACCATTGTATTAGGGCCTTCGGGCTCACAGGACCTCAGGGACGCCCGAAAGAACTAACGTTGGTTTAGAAGCAGCCGCGTCGGTCTGGCGGGACTTTGGATGACTTGGATTTGACCTTCCTGCCTGTATATCATATGGGCAGAAATACATACCCTCGGCCTTTGCTGGTGACCGTGTCCCAGCTCAGAAAGTGGGGCTGTGTTTCCCAGGAGCGAACGCCACGTCCTGTGGACGGTGGATGCCTGCTGATGGCTGCACGCTTTTGCCTTGGGAGGCACTTATGTCTCTACTCTGGCTCCCCGAGCTGCCTGAGTGATGACAGATGGCGTGGGTGGGATTATCCAGGCTGGCTGACCTTGGCACTTAGCTCTGCCTGGTCCCTCCGGGCGGAGAATGGAAGTGGTTCTGGTGCGGGTCCGGAAAGATGGGGCCTGGCAGGAGTGAAGGCTGTTTAAGGCTCTCTCTCTCTCTCATGTGACCAGCATCACATGAAGCATCAGGGCCTGGGGCTGCTGCGAGCTGAGTGCCGTGGGCATGGAGCCTGTGAGCGTTTGGTCATGGAGGGTGGTGGTTAATGGAATGGCCTTAGCGTGATGCCCATTTAATAGTGAAGGGTTTGTGGAAAACTGGGATTATAACATTTGAAACACCTCCCCTGTTCTTCCTATATAGTTTCTGGAAGCATTCATAAATGCTTCGTAACTTTTAAGAAATCTAATCATACAAGCCACATTGGCTTGTGGGTACATTTTGGGTTGGCCTGTGTCACCCAGTTTACGGGTGAATTTGAATTTGCACTTAACGTTTTTAATGACTTAAATTTGTTGCTCTCACTCTGAAAGAAGCAGCCAGCTGCTAAATTGCCTTTTTTCTCCCTTGTTCTTCAGATCATTGTTATGTATTTACAAGTCTTAGAGTGTGAACGTAATCAAACCCTGGTTCAGACTGCCTGGTAAGTTGCTTTTTTTACGTATTTTCTAGCCAGGAAAACAGAAGCAGAAATAAAGTAAGTTTTATTTTTCCCTTTCCAAAAGAATGAGATGGGTTTGTTTTGGTGCTTTTGTTTTTTTGTTTTTTAACCAAAAGGTCAACAACGCTTATTTCTGCTTCCTGTTTTCTTGGCTTGACTGATTATTTTCCCTGGAGAACTCAATTTAACTTTGTTCTTTTTTCTACTCTTTGATTAAAGGGTAGTCCTGATGGTAAGTCATAGAACTCTGCCCTCCGCACTTCAGCCCATGACCTCAGGATGGCCTGATTGGCTGCCCTGCTCTCCAGCCAATCCAGTGCAAGCTCTCATCCGAGATTCACTGAAGTGGTCCATACCCATCTGGCAGCGTCTCCTAGTTCTGTCGGGTGTCGAAGGATTTGTATATTTGCTTCTAGAAGTGACAACTCAACATGCCTGTGTATCTCATGTGTACCTGTAACTATCCAGACCAAGAGTTCATTTCGATAGATGTGTTGTCCGGCCGTGATGCATTGAGTGATTTACGCTAGTCTGTGTGACGTGAATTCTCGAGGGACCACAGTGTGCAGCTGGTGGGGGCTGGTCCCGCCCTGAGCATAGGCCAGGCTGCTGCAAGAAAGTGCTCCTGTTAGAGAAATATGATGAGCACTTGGGCCCGGCCCGAGCCGCCAGCATGGGGTGTGAGGGAGCCGCCCGTTTGCGGAGACCCGCGGGCTCCTCCCCTGCGCCAGCGCTCGGACCCGGCCATTAATGTTGATGTTCTGAGCTGCGGCTCCGCAGACCAGAGAAGTATTAAAAGTCGTGTTAAGTCTCATGGCTTTTATAAAATGCATGGTATTTTCGGTACATGTTCTATAAAATATTCTATTACATGGGTAAGAAATTTTAAGACGTCTTACACTGGGTAACTTTTAAACCAATTTGTAAAATTTCTTTTTTTGATGCCTCAGGAATATTGTGGGGGAGGGTTTGCTGATTTAAAACTCCAGCAACTGGTTCTGAAACAGCCTGAATCTCAGTTAAACTGTCTCAAAATGATATGTTGCGTGTTTATTGTTCTTCACTTACCCACCTCAACTTTCAGAAGCAATTTTGTTTTTTTTTTAATACAAGTATAACATATATATATATTTATAAAGAAAGCCACTTGATGCGTGATTGCTGAAATGCCTTTACTGTCACGGTGTCCACATTCTGAAATAACTCGATTGACTCTGCTCTATATTGTGGGTGAAGGAGAGACGGTCAGTAGCCGATGGCTCGAAGTACTATTGGAGTGGTTTGTCATTGATAACGCTAGTGCTGTCACAGCTTACTCTCAAAGCATTGCCTTTTATTCAACTATGTTGGAAAAAACTTTAAAAACGTAAGTTCTATTGGAATAATAATATGGAATTTTTAAAAATTTGGTCATATGTCCGAAAGCTAAAGCATGGTTCTATTGTGAAATTCTAAATCTTGCCAATAACGAGTTAAGAATTGTTATGTGTTAGACTATGAAGTTGTGAATACTTAATTATGAGAAGAAAAAAGAATAAAGTAGATTGAGTCTCCAATTTAATGTAGACGTCAGAGGCGCTGTTGGATCCCATGGGAAGCTCACGGCTGGAATGTTTTTCAGGAACTATATGAATGACAGTCTCCGCACCAATGTCTTTGTCCGCTTCCAACCGGAGACGATCGCGTGCGCGTGCATCTACCTGGCGGCCCGGGCTCTGCAGGTAGGACCGGGCCAGCTCCAGGCCGTGCACCCTGCCCGGCCAGCCGACTGCCGGCTGACCAGCCCCTTGTCTTTGCCATCTAGATCCCCCTGCCCACCCGTCCCCACTGGTTCCTCCTGTTCGGTACCACGGAGGAGGAGGTGCAAGAGATCTGCGTCGAGACCCTGCGGCTCTACACCAGGAAAAAGGTAACGGCAGGGCTTGGGCTGTGGCCATCTGGGGCTCGGGCCGTGGCCGGACCAGGCCCCAGAAAGGGAACCCTCTCCTGCACCCTCCCCACAGCCCAACTACGAGTTGCTGGAAAAGGAAGTAGAGAAAAGGAAAGTGGCCTTGCAGGAAGCCAAGCTAAAGGCCAAGGGCTTGAATCCCGACGGGACACCGGCCCTGTCCACCCTCGGGGGCTTTTCTCCAGCCTCAAAACCATGTAAGACCCGAAGGGGTGGGTGGTGGGAGCCGCGCCCGGGCCGGCAATAACTGGGCTGCGTGGTCTGTGCAGCGTCCCCGAGGGAGGTGAAGGCCGAGGAGAAGTCTCCGGCTGCCACCAGCACCAAGACGGTGAAGAAGGAGCCGGAGGACCGGCAGCAGCTTCCCAAAAGCCCGTACAATGGGTGAGGCGGGCGGCGGAGGCGCGGGTGGGTGGGGGGGTTCCCCGGCCGGGCTGCTGGTGACAGCCGTGTTCCCCACAGCGTGAGGAAGGACAGCAAGCACAGCAGGAACAGCCGGAGTGCCAGCCGCTCCCGCTCCAGGACGCGCTCGCGGTCCCACAGCCCCCGTAGACAGTGAGTGCCGGGCGGGAGCGGGGACAGGAGGGGACGTGGGGGACGCGGGGGGGGGGGGGTGCTCGGGCCAGCGCTGAGGTGCCCTCCCCACCCCCAGTTACAACAACAGGCGGAGCCGCTCGGGCACCTACAGCTCGCGCTCACGGAGCCGGTCGCGCAGCCCCAGCGAGAGCCCCCGGCGACACCACGGCTCGCCCGCGCTCAAGGCCAAGCCGGCCCGCGGGGACCTGAAGGGCACCCGGCACAGCCACAAGCGGAAGAAGTCGCGCTCACGCTCGCCCAGCAAGTCTCGGGACCACGCGGACGCAGCCAAGAAGCACCGGCACGAGCGGGCCCACCACCGGGACCGGCGCTCGCGCTCGCGCTCCCTGGACCGGGCACACAAGGGCAAACACCACGGCGGCCGCTCCGGCCACGGCAGGCACCGGCGCTGAGGGCCACGGCAGGACGGCTTCTCACCCCGGCCCTGGCACTGGGAAGAACTATGTTGATTTTTTTTCTTTCTTTTTCTTATTTTTTTTCTCCTTTTTTTTTTGGTTTTTTTTTTTTTTTTTTTTTTTTTTTTGCACATTAAAATGCCCTTAGCAGTATCTAACAGATAACCATGGTCGGGTTCAATTGTACTTACTATAGTTGTGTATTGTTTATTGCTATGAGAACTGGAGCGTGAATTCTGTAAAAATTGTATCTTATTTTTATACAGATAAAACTGCAGACACTGTTCTATTTAAGTGGTTATTTGTTTAAATGATGGTGAATACTTTCATAACACTGGTTTGTCTGCATGTGTAAAGATTTTTACATGGAAATAAAATACAAATCTTGTTTTTCTAAACTGCTTCAAAATACCTTATTTAAATAAAAGGCAAAATTTTCATAGTAAAAGTGCCTGCACTTATTTTCTGAGTGATTGTCCTTTCTCCGCTTGTAGCTGGATTTCTTTTGTTTGGGAGTCAGTTGGGTCCTGGGGGTTGGACCCAAGTGTGCACATGCAAAGCACCCACCCTGCTGAGCTGTTGTTCCAGCCCCACCAGCAGGAAGGGCAGGTCTCCGGGTGGCAGAGGGCGGCGGTGAACGGGACAGACGTGGGGCTGCCTTGGGAGCAAGGTGGGTCCTCCATCAGGCCTAGGAGCGAGTCTTTGCGAGGCGTTTCCCATGGCGCTGGTGGTCATGTCCCTGCACTGCGGGCTCCTTGGAGGGGACCTTTGCCGGGTGTCCAGCGCTGAGAGAGCTGAAGGACAGCCCCAGCCCACGTGTGTCCCAGCTCACCCAAAAGGCTCTGGCCAGGGCTCTTCAGAACTTAAGACTTCCTGTCTGTCCTCTGGCCACACCCGTTGGTGGTGAACTCTCCCGGGGTCACTGCTGGCTCCGGGGCCATATGGGGTGCTGGGTGCAGAGAAGCCCCGGCTCCATCCCAGCAGGCCCCGGCCCCTGGCCGTGCTCCCTCCTGAGATCCCCGGTCTCGGTCACTCTGGAGTGGCCACACCATCTGAACCTACGCACAGGGCCACTTGCGCAGGCTCTTTCCGGGTGAGGCCTAAAGTTCCAGGGGCCTTCCAGTGACATAACAGAAAAGCAGGTTTTCGTGGACAGACCCAGGTTTGATCCTGGCATCCCATAAGCAACCCCCGCCCCCAGAGCCAGGAATAACCCCTAATAAGCCCTGCCAGGTGGGGCCCAAAACAGAAAGTTCGGTTTTGAATTTTAAGACAGGTTCATCTTTAAAAGAGAGTGGTAAAGACAGCCCCCACTACATCCTGCTAATCTATTGGTACCCCACGCACGTCTCTCTTCTCCCTTCTGCCCTCCCCAGCCGAGCCTCTGTCCTGGCCTCTTGGAGGGCAGTGATGGTATGACTTTCCCTGCATGTTCCCCAAAGCCAGGGCTTGGGATGCAGGAGCGGGCAGAGTTCCCGGCAACAAAGACTCAGCACACAGGCTTATGTGAAGCCAGCAGGGTAGAAGCTCCCAGCGGGGAGACTGCACACATGAGGCCCCGCGGTGGCACCAGGAGTGCCGGGTTCGTGTCACTTAGCCAAGTATGAAAGCGTGTCATGTCCCCCTGTCCGAGCATGTGGGCCCTTGCTGTGTGGCTTGAAGCCCTTTGAGCACAGCCTGGCTGGATGTCCCTGTGGACCCAGGAGCTGGGGCTAGTTCCCGGCGATGCAGGCTCAGGACCCTCGGGCATGAGTCCCGCGGGCACAGCCCCAGCAGCAAAGGGGCCTGGGCACTCATTAGCATGTTCGCTGTTCTCAGAAATTGCCAATTTTCCTGCTGATTTCTCTCCTCCCTCCCTTCCTTTCCCCTCCTTCCTTCCTTTCTTTCCCCTGCCCGCCCTCTCCCTCCTTCCCTCCTTTCTTTCTCTTTATTTTTGAGCCATACCCAGCGGTGCTTAGGATTGACTCCTGGCTCTATGCTCAGGGATCTGGACATTGGTGTGTATTTGTGGACTGGAAAGATCAATTTTCCCATGACTGCAGTTTGACAGACACAGACAGTCCCTGGGACGGGGACATTCACACCCGGCAGCTCTGTCACACAGGAACTGTCGTTCTTGGTTCCTTTTCTGAGACAACCCATCACACCACCCCTAAATAATTCCTCGTGATTTGCCGAAAGATGCAGGCATTTGGGTGCGTGGTCACAGAAACTCTTGCCTGGCCCCACCCCATTACCCGGAATTCCTTGCAGATCCAGCCTGGGTCCACGGGCATTTTCCAGATGGCTTCTCTGTCACCGCTGGGCTTCATGCTCCAGAATCTTCACTTGCTGTGCGGACGTAGAGAAGGTTGGACTGGGGCAGAGCCGAGCAGTGCATGCAGAGAGTGGGTCTGATCCGAACAATTTCCAGCGTTGGGTCAGCGCCAGGCAGCCCTCCCTGGAGGCTGTCCCCATCCCTCTTCCAGCCTGCCCGCCTCCGTGGACCAGTCTCCAGGTGTGTTCTTACCAGTGGCACAGACGGGCATCTGGCCAGGGTCCTGCCAAATTAAGCTAGTTTGCTCGAAACTTCCTTGTTCTTTTCATCTCTGGTGGGGTTGATTGTCTTCCTGTCCCAGAGCGCCTGGGGAGCGTGACCCGCGCCTCCTGGTGCACCCCCCCCCCCACCAGCCCAGCCTCTCTCTCCCCACCGCCTTCACCATTTAGCAGGGGCAAGACGTCAAGGAGGGCTTCCCCTCCCCCCTGAAGAATTAAGTGAGTTCCGGTGGGCTTGTGGGGATTTTTTATTTCGCCTGTGATCCGCCCTTTGGGCCAGGGCTGCCATGGAGGGGTCCTCGCACCCCACACTGTGCTTCTGTGCCAAATGACACCAACGGGACTGGAGGGTCTGGAAGGACGACAGACACGGAACCATGGACAGACACACAGCAGGGAGTAACAGGGATCAAAGGTAGCAGTAATGGGTGCTGACTCTCAGCTGGGGCAGGCTGGCTTTGTGGGGTGGTCGCTGGAATCGGGAGAAACCGCAAGTGGAGGAAAGGGGGTGTCGTGCTGAGGATGTGCCAGCAGGGGGCGCTGCCAGGTTGCAAGTGGCCATGGCTCCAGCCCAGCTTTGCAAGCGCCCTGCTGTGTCCACTCAGGGCTGGACTCCAGGCTCTAGAGCAAGCCCAGCCACACGAATCTTCAAGAGCTGGACCCAGACCCAGGTGCTCTGTCGCACACACTTCCCTCCCCAGCCCCGCGAGGGCAGAGCCTGGCTGTCTGCAGACCCCTCCTCCCCGCACCCTCGTGACCCCCCTCCCCATGTGACTCCTGGCCCCCACCCCTGCAACAGCATTCGGGACCTGGAGCTCTACATGCTGCTCGGGCCTGACCCGGGTCCAGGACCCAGCAGTGGCCCATCGCAGACCTGTTCCGGGGGGGGGGGGGGGGGGGGGCGAACTGTCTCCTGCTTGCAGCCTTCATTTTTGAGATGCACTGTGGTCCCTCCAATGGCAGGAAGCTTCTAGAAGCCGGGCAGCCTCTCAAGGGGCACCGTGTGGGAAGCCATTGCCAGGCCTGGTCAAGTGCCTGTCTGCAGACCCCTGCAGGGAGGTGGTGGCCCCGAGCCAGGACTGCTCCAGGCGCCTCCGGACCCCCCTCAATGGGAGTTGCTGCCCTGCACACCCCAGGGGCTCACTCTCCTGGACAGGGGGCGAGGGCGCTCTCCTCATCTGCTCTTGCCTCCTGCCCGACCTGCAGCTTCAGGGTGGAAACCGGCCGGGGGCCGCACAGGCCCCGCACACCCCCTCCGGGCCCCGTCTCACGATAACCACTGGGGGGCCGCGTCCTCGCCACGTTCCCCGGGCTGAGAGGAACCTCCCGGCCTCCATCCATGTTGGGTCCAGGGCTGGGCAGGGGGACGGGGTGGGCAGCGGGGGCACGTGTTTTTGTGCATGTGTGTGCATGCATGTGTGGTTTGGTGGGTATGTTTCCCACCTGTGTGTTCATATTTGTATATGTAAGTGCACACATGTGTGTAAGTCTTGTACATGTTTGTGTGTCAGTGCACACATGAGTGTATGTAGGTGTTTGTGTACACATGCATAAGTGCATGTATATTTGAGTGTGTAAGTGCACACACGTGTGTGCGCACACGTGTACTGCATGTGTGCGCACACGTGTGCAAACGTGTCCTTGTGTGTGCATGTGTGTATGTGTGCCGTTGCAGAGAGCTGACTGAGAGATAACAGGCCTTCCCGCAGCCAGGCTGAGCGGATGGCCACATTCCCATGCAGGCCCCAGGAGCCTCCTTTTCCACAGCAGTGAAGGGGCTCGCGCCCAGCTCAGAGGAAAGTGTGCCAGGGCCACATCTGGCGGCGCTCAGGGCCGACCCCTGGCTGTGTCCAGGAATCCAGGCGGGCTCAGGGGACCACGTGGGGTGTCAGAGACTGCACTAGGGTCAGTGGCTGGCAAGGCCAGTGCCGTATTTCCTGCACCATCTCCCCCTCAGAAGTGGCACTCCTGGTGAAAGTGTGTGCCAAGGCCATACCCGGCCGAGGGTGCGTGAGAACGGCCTTGTGAGACACGAGCCCGCGACCAGTGAGCCGCCCACTCCTCTGGGCAGGGCCCAGTGTGAAGTTTCTGTCCCTGGCTGTTCGTGCAGGTGTGGGCAGCGGCAGGAGAAGCGATAGGAGGGGGGAGATTTAGGTAAGGTCACGGCAAGTGACAGTCACAGGCTGATGACGAATGGCCCAACCCCTCTGAGCCCCCAAATTCTCTGCACCCCAGTCCAGCCGTCTGTACCTCAGACCCTCTGCACCCCAGCCCAGCTGTCTGCACCCCAGTCCAGCCCTCTGCACTCCAGCCTCCTCCCACAGAGCGCTCAGGGAGACTGGAGGGGGCTCTTCCCTCCCCACCCCCCGACATTCCCAGAAGCCCAGGCTGGGGCTGCCAGCCTGCTGAGTCGCAGGGTCCCAGCTCGGCAAGTGCTCCTGCCGGTCCCTGAGGTGCCAGATCAGTTCTGTCCACGCCTGATAAGCTGTGGGGCAATGACATGGGACAGACATGGGGCCAGGGCGGGGACATGGCTGGGGGCTGCGGTGTCTTAGTGGGGGTCTCAGGGACCAGGCGCCCCAGGTCTCCTTCCCCGAGTCTCAGGGCTCCTGACGCATCTTCGCTCAGGGCCTTTGCTGGCCCTGCTGGCCTCGAGTCTGAAAGGGTCTCTGCCTCTTCTCGCAGAACTCCTGGCACACGCCTCTGAACAGGGCGGGACCTCAAGAGGGGCACTGGGGGAGGGGCCGGTGAGGCCAGTGGCGACTCTGACTGCAGGCCCCCCTGCCCAGCCCTTGGGAAGGAGCCGGCAGGGCCGGAGCCGAGATAATGAGGGCGCCTGGCTGCTGGTGAGGCCACACTCCTGCCGGGCACCCCCCCCCCAGCAGGCTCTGTGCAGAGGGTCCTGACTATGGAGCCCCCCACCCCCTCCCAAGGCCTCACACCTCTGGGTGACCCAGAGGCCTGGCCTGACTCAGCCGCAACTCAGAGAATGGGCGTTAGGGGCTGTGTGTGTGTTTGTGCATGCGTGCGTGCGTGTGCATGTGCACACGTGTTTGTGTGCGCGTCCTGCACCTGGCGCGTGTGTGCATGTTACGTGAGTGCAGCCACGCACAGACATGTGTGTGTCCATGTGCGCCCCTCATCCTTCACTCGCCCCCTGACAACACACCCTTCAGAGGAGCTCCTGGCTTAGCCCCGTCCTTCTGCTCTGGTTGGGGCCAGTGTGGGACAGTGGCGCCTGCTCCATGAGTGGACACAGGTTCCTCGGGGCCCCCCCGGCTCTGGGCAGCTCCGGGAGGCCAGGCCCCACTTCCGGACTAGCAGCAGCTGAACGATGATGCTTGTCCCTCACTGGTGGCCCTCACTGGGCTTCGGGTCCGTGTGATTCTGCTCGCAGACGGGCTTTACTGTCACAGGGGCAGCCCTCTAAGCACCCCCACGGCCCTGCGTCCCTGGGGAGGGAGGACACGACCAATGGAGTTTGGGGCAAGGGCTGTGTTTGGAGACAAGGGAGGAGCAGGAGCTTGAAGCTAACATTTGGGTCATTTGAGACAGTGCTCAGGGCTGACTCCTGGCTCTGTGCTCAGATCTTACTCATGGCTCTGTGCTCAGGGTCACTCCTGGCTCTATTGCTTGGGGCTGACTCCAGACTCTGTGCTCAGGGCTGACTCCTGGCTCTGTGCTCGGGGCTAACTCCCGGCTCTGTGCTTGGGGCTAACTCCTGGCTCTGTGCTCAGGGCTGACTCCTGGCTCTGTGCTCAGGGCTGACTCCTGGCTCTGTGCTCAGGGCTGACACTTCTCTGGTCCTGTATGACCCATTGCCTTGTGCCTAGAACTAGAGTCCCTTGACACCTGGGGGCCCTGCCCGGGGGTCCCCTCAGGAGCGGATGCGGGGTGTGTGCCGGCGCTGTGGGGTGGGAATGAAGGCGAGCACCCTTCCTAGGAACGCAACTGCATTTGTCAGCTGGCACAACAAGCGCTGCCACAGACAGCCACGGGCGCAGCTGGGGGCAGGGCGGGCATCCGGGGGCTCTGCTTCGCTGCGGTCTCGGGGCCTCTTGGGCGCTTGGCATCTCCTGTGCCAGGGTCTGTGGCAGGGTCGAGGCCTGCTCGGGTGCCCACTGGGTGGGGCATGGCCTCGGTTCCCAGGCCCTGCGGGGCCTCAGCGCTGGCCAAGCCGGGCCCCCCGCAGCAGCGCGGTCAGCCTCTGCCTGGTCTCCGTCACCGAGACTGTGCGGCCCCGGGCGGGAGGCGGACGGGGATGTGGCTGAGAGTGGGGACCCCTCTGGGGTCGGAGCAGGCCAGGGGCTGGAGGCAGCCTGGCCAGGTCCCTCTCCCGGTGGCTGCTGGGTGGGGTGGGGGGCGAGGTGCCCCCCGGGGCGGGGGTTCGGGGTGCCGGGGGCAGGCCCCCTGCTCCCAGCCGCTGCAGCTCCAGCAGCCGCTCCTTAGCCTGGCCCAGGGCCTCGGTCAGCTCGAAGCGCTCCTCACACTCCCGACGGACTGTCTCCTGCAGCACGGCATTCTGGGGGAAGGCGGGGGTCAGGGACGATCCCGCCCACACCCGCCAGGCACACAGGGACCCTTCCACCCGCACCCACCCGGGCACACAGGGACCCTCACCCGCCCAAGTATGTCTGTGTGTTAGTTTCTTGTGGTATGTGTATCCATGTGGTATGTGTGTCTGTTTGTATGTCTGTGTGTCTTTGTGTGTATCTGTGTGTCTGTGTGTGAGTGAATCTTGTGGTACACAACCCCCAGCCTCAGCAATGCTGACCCCCCCAGGAGCTCTGGTTCCCTAACTCCCACCGCCACCGGGAAGTCCCCTGTGGAGCCCCAGAAGGGAGTAGGATCAGGCCCAGCATGCCCGGGGCGGGAACCCCGCAGCCCACCTCCTCCTGGGCCTGGCTGAGCTGCTGCAGGAGCTGGTTCTGCGCCAGCGTCAGCTGCTCCAGCGCCTGGGTTTTGTGCGCCAGCTCCTCGCGCAGGGCCTGGGCGGTTGCGTCCTTACTGTCCGTCTCCTCCTTCAGGCGATACTGACACTCGTCCACCTGACGCCTGAGGCGCTCAACCTCCTGCTCCTTGGACTGGGCTGTCTCAGCCTGGCGGGCCTGGGACTCTAGCAGCCGCCCCTCAAGAGCGCTCACCTGCAGCCGCAGCTCATGTGTGGAACCTGCCACCAGCTCAGAGATCTGCAGGGCCATGGGAGTGAGGCCATGGGGATGGGGCCATGGGGATGGGTCCACGGGGATGGGGCCAAGGGAGTGAAACCACAGGAGTGAGGCCATGGGGAGTGAGGCCACGGGGAGTGAGGCCACAGGGATGGGGCCACGGGAGTGGGGCCAAGGGGATAGGGCCAAGGGGATAGGGCCACGGGAGTGGGGCCACGGGAGTGAGGCCACGGGAGTGAGGACACGGGGATGGGGCCACGGGAGGCCACAGGGGCGGGGCCAGAGGCATGAGGCCAGCAGAGTGAGGCCATGTGGGTAAGGCCCAAAGATGAGGCCGCAGAGGTAAGATCAGGGAAGTGAGACCACAGGGCTGAGGGCACAGGGTGTGGGCATGGGGGTGAGGCCAGGGGGGTGAGGCCCCAGGGTGAGGCCACGGGGGTTAATCTGGGGGTTTCTGCAGCCCCCAGGTCACGCCTGCTGGGGGTGCTGGGGTTGGGAGCACCAGTAAGCAGGGGCTGACCGTGGCCCGCAGCTCCTCTTGCTCCCGCTTGTACTTCTGGATGATTTCTCGGTGTTTCTCTTTTTCAATATCCAGCTCCAGCTTCGCTTCTTCCTTGAAGAGCAGAGACTGTTCCTCAAAGTCCGAAGTGTGCTGCGCTCTCTCCTTGGCGAGCTCCGCCTCAATCTAGGGGATGGATCGAACACGAGGCACCGTCTGAATGTCAGCCCGGGGCAGGTGCCACCACGGCCACGCCCTCCAGACCCAGCGCTCGCCGTACCGAGGGTCAGTACTACTGTAATGTCCATTTGGGATTTACAATCTGGCTCAGAACTTAGACTTTGGCCAAATATTTGAGGCCACGGAAGTGGGACCTGGTGGGGGGGGGGGATGCCTCTCGTTGCTGAGCAGGTTCACGCACGTGGGACTGGCAGAGCTGCTTGGACTGTGCCCCCAGCCCCCGGGCACCCGGCGCTGCCCCCAGCTCCAGAAGCAAAGGGCGGCAGTAGAGGGGTGGGTGGTGGGCACGGACACTGAGCAAAGCCTCTGGTTCCTGGGGGGAGGGGACCGCTGCCTGTCCAGGGCCGCAGCGTCCTGTGGGAGTGGGGTCAGGCATCCGTGGCCCTGGGTTTTGGCTCGGGCTTGAGCACCCTACACGCTAGATGGGTCCTTCTTCCTTCGAGCCGGCACTGGGTTCTGCTCTCCGCTCCTGTGGAGCATCGCCAGAAGGTCAGCTGAGACCTTCTCACCACCAGGTACCAGCCCAGGCACGGTCATGGCTGCAGCACCTCCCTCTGCAAGGCTTCAGTCTTCTCTAACATCTAACTTCAGAGTAGTTTCCCTGTACAACAGAACTGTCTGATAGCTATGTTACAAAGTAACCACTACAAAAGTCGAGTTGTAACCATTACCTTATATTGTCACAGAAAAGGTTTTTCGTTTTTGTTTTTTTCTTTTCTTGCAATGAGGAAATGAGGATTTTTTTTTTCCCTTTTGGGGCAAACCCAGCAATGCTCAGTGTCACTCCTGGCTCTGCACTCAGGAATTATTCCTGGCAGTGCTTGGGGGACCATAAGGGAAGCTGGGGGCCAGGCAACACTCCTGGGTAGGAGACATTGTAGATTCTGCCATGCAGGATGCGGGGCACTGTATACTCCTGTGAATACTCTTGAACTGTTTCTTGGGATGTATTTCAAATTCTGTGGTCTATTTAATTTGACTTAAAAATAAGTATTCATCTTGGTGCATTAGTTCGAGTTGCTTTTCTGTCTTCCTTTTAAATTTTGTTAGGAAGAACCAGATCAGCATTTAGTTTAGAGTTAATTTTGAGTTTATTCTAGACCAAAATGTTTATGATTTTATTAACTCAGTTTTGAAAATTACACGTCATAATTGAAACCAAAGCACATCCATGATACTCTTATTTACCGACAGATTTAATACGCATAAATGAACGGATGTCGGTAAACAAGAACTTCTCTCTCACGGTTGGTGCCCACACATTACTCTTGTCCACTTCGCTAATGGTGCACTAAATCACCACAGGAATTAATTAGCCATTGGCGCTCCTGTTTTGAGGAATTTGAAATTTTAACCGATTTTGCTTCCCTTTAAGGCTGGAACTGAGTCTCTCCTAAGCAGTCCCCCTCCCCCATACTTCCCCCCATTCATTTATGAGTCAGAAGGTGAGGTTTGCAGCATTTCAGCCACAGACTTAAACGCTGAGCCCTGTCTCAAATCACCCTCCACCGCCAACTCTACGACGCTCCTAAATGTGCTATCTTGGTACTAACCTCAGCAAATATTTGGCTGCAATTTGCTTGTGGCCCTGGAAAGTGATAAGTGAGTGGCTGTCACTTACTGTATAAGTCTAGCTGAGGAGGACTTTTAATTAGAACATTTAAGCAGAGTATTGACAATGTGGTGCGTTTGGAACCAATCTAAAATGTTCCCCCATGCACATTACTTAGCTTTTTTTTCCCCCCACATCCAAGCAGCACTTCAAACAAACAAACAAACAAACAAAAAATCCTTGACAATTAGTGAAAATGCAGTTATTTTCCAGTGGGCCGGTTGCATAGCAACTCTCAGTTCCATTATGTGCTTTTTATATCCGCGAAAATAATTAAGCCCAGGCACAAATCGCTATCTTTCCTTTGAATGCTAAAAGCATTAAGCTGCAAAGTTTATTCTCCGATGCGAGCTCTGTATTTGCGAAGGGAACATTTCATTCCCACGCAAAGGCACGGTGACCCAGGGGAGCCGCCACGATGTCACATTGCTGGTTTTCTCTCTTGGTGCGAGGACAGTAGGGAACTTTGTATTCACCGTCTCACGCTCTGCCTAATTGCCACCCTCTGCCTCTCCTGCTGCTGCTGATTCAGTGTGAGGCTGCGGGGTGACGTGCGCCAGCCAGGAGCGCGTCCTGTCAGCAGAACACAGTGTTCGCTGCTCTCCCGGAACTTGGGCACGCCTGCAGACACCGTGGCAGGATTTATGGGACACCAGTGCAGGCTTGCCAGGGACGCAGCTCCGGCTCAATGGACAGCCGACCTGACCCGGCCCTTCCCGCTCCCAGGCCCTTATTCCCGAGGAGTTCCGTGGCCCAGCGGACGGACGGGAGCCCCTGCCCCCCCCCCCCCCCGTTTGGACAGGCAGTCTGGGGACTCACTGGGTGGTCACCTGCTTATGCGGCTGGGAAGTGGGTGCCAGGATGTGGTGACGTGGGAACAAAGGACAGAAAAGCAGGCCGGAGGGTCAGAGGGAAAGACTCAGGGCCAAGCGAGCGGGGTGGGCAGTGTAGGCCGGCAGCCTATGTCCCCTTGGTCTACACAGGGCCACCAGGACCCTTTGTCACCATCTGGGGACTGGCTGAGAGGCGGCTGGAACAGAGAGACACAAGGGGCGCCTGGCCTGAGCCTGAAGCCACTCAGGGCTCTGAGCTATGTGAGTGTGTGAGAGTGTGCGTGAGTGTGTGAGTGACTGAGTCTGTGTGTGTGAGTGTGTGAGTGTGCGTGAGTGTGTGAGTGACTGAGTCTGCGTGTGTGAGTGTATGTGAGTGTGCGTGTGAGAGTGTGCGTGAGTGTATGAGTTACTGAGTCTGCGTGTGAATGTGTGAATGACTGAGTCTGCGTGTGTGTGAGTGTGCAAGTGTGCATGTGTGAACGCGTAGGAGTGACTGCGTCTGTGTGTGTGAGTGAATGAGTCTCAGTCTGTGTGTGAGAGTGTGAATGTACATGAGTGACTGAGTGTGTATGGGAGTGTGTGAGTCTATGCGTGAGTGTGTGTATGTGTGAGTTGTGAGCGTATGTGTATGTTTGAGAATGTATGAGTGTATGTGACCAGGTGGGAGTATGTGTGTTTGAGTTCGAGTGTGTGAGAGTGTAGGAGTGTATGATGTGAGGGTGTGGGCATAAGTGAGTAAGTCTGTGTGTATGTATGAGTGTGTGCGAATGAGTGTGAGTGTATGTGTGTGTGTTTGAGTGTGAGTGTGTGTGCGAATGTGTGTATGTGGTGTTTGAGTGTGAGAGCCTGTGTATGAATGAGCGTGTGTGTGTGTGTGTGTGTGTGTGTTGCAGGAGTTGCTGTTCCCCCAGGAGGGTCTTCAGGGTGACTGTGAGCAGTACATGCGGGTCGGCCCCACAGTTACATTTCCGGGATCTGAGCAGAGGTTCCAGGGCTCAGCCTACAGAGGCCGGGCGGGGGCAGGGGACCAGGTGCCAAGTGGGGAGCTGGGAAGGTTTGGGTCCCAGACTGAGGACCAGTCACAGAACAGAGGCCAACGCTGGGGTGAAGCTGTGCAGGGAGCTGAGGCACCTGGAACCTCCCACGCTCCCTGGAGACCCGGGGAAGACGCACACACACTCGTCGCGAGACTCTGGGGAACAAAGTTCTGGAAAGAAAGCAACGCGGCTGTTTCGTTCTTTCTGAGAGTGACTTTCTTTCCGTAACTGACGAAGCTGAACATGGACGCAGCCCACAGAGGCCAACAGCGCGGCCCCACGCGGCTCCCATGGCCGTTGGGGGTGGGGTGGCATGCCCTGGGGGGCACCCACAGCTCACATGCCTCCACGGCGTCCCAGTGTGGTCGGAACAGAACCACCAAAATCAGGGAGTGGGAATGAAAACGTGGGCTCGAAAGCACCGGGCAGCTCCGCGATCCTCACACAAGAGCTCAGTGTTGTCGCTGTGGGGATGTTTCATGAGATCCGAGAAACAAGGCTCAGGCCGTCAGCAGAGCCGGCAGCGAGAGGGAGGAAACGAGTGAGAAAACAACACGCGGAAGTGAGGACCAGGGGGGCGATTTAAAACTCGCATGTTGGGGGCTGGAGCAATAGCACAGCAGGTAGGGTGTTTGCCTTGGACGCAGCTGACCTAGGTTCGATTCCCAGCACCCCACATGGTCCCCTGAGCACCGCCAGGAGTAATTCCTGAGTGCATGAGCCAGGAATAACCCCTGTTCATTGCTAGGTGTGACCCAAAAAACAAACAAACAAATAAATAAATAAAACACGCAGGAGAAGCTTCTGGACAGCTGACAGCAGCTCAGCAAAAGACCCAGGAGCTCCCAGATGAGATGGGGGAACCTGCTAGAAAACAGTAGGAGGTGGAGAATAGTCTGGAAAGCAATGAACAGCACACCCAAACACTCTGGGATGAGCTCGGGAGGAGCAGTGTAAGAATCAGCAGAGTCCCCGAAAAACAGGACGGCAAATGCGACGAGGAAACAGTGGTTAAGGAATCTCCTCGAACTGAGGAATATTAGGACCAAGACCCAAGAGGCCCAGAGGCCCCAGTGCAAACAGACTCCACTGGAAAACGCCAAGAAACACTGCGCAGGCTGACAAACTCCAGAGACAGACGGAGGACGAGCAGTGAGCCCCAGACAGGAGGCACAGAGGAAGGCTCGTCCCTCTACAGCAGATCGACCAAGGGGGTTCTCGGAGCCGGGGAGTCGAAGCAGCGGAGACCACGCACCTCCCAGGACCTTCCACGGAGCCAGACTGTCACTCAGACCTGAGGGCCGGCTCAGGGCTCCTGACGGGCAGCAGCTCAGGAAATCCGTAGCCTTGAAGCCAGTTTTACAAAAAGCAAACAAGGAGCATCTTTGAAAGACAGGAGGAACTCCCCAGCTGCCTCTGCTCAACTAAGGAAGGGGTGTCTACCCCAAGCTTGCTAGGGGGTTCGTGCATTTTCAATCATCAATTAATAGTTGATTTATACTCAATGTCCTATGTCTTGCCAGTTTGTTTTACATACAAAGAATTTTTTTTGCGACACTTAAGCAGTATCTATAATATAATATTTTCTAACATAAACCCAATATTCCCATTCTTAGGATAAAATGCTTTGTGTTCTTATAGGCCCATATAGATTTTCCCTTTTAAACTGTCTTAATTCTTTGACTCTTATTTATTTTCTCCAAAAGGAAATTAGGGATGGCTTATTAAATAAGATAAATTATTATAACACATCCAAATGCATTGGAAAATAGCTAAAGGATTTCACGAGGCATTCCTACTACTCTTAGTAAATTTTAAATCTGTAGGCTTTACCTATTTATTTCATGTAAACTCCAATATTTTAAAAATGTTTTATTAATGGCAGAGAAGACATGATTATATTATAATTATGATCACATATAATATATTATAATCACATATAATATATTATAATCACAATGAGACTCAAATACAAAAGAAAAGTTAGTGCAAAATATTTTAGGTGCTAGAGTTGAAAACATATGAGTAGGGGCATTATATTACATTAAATGATTCCAATTTCTTTACTTACATTGGTTAAAGTCACACAGCAATCACTAATCACAAACTGAATTTAGTTGATTTATTTTCTGCTAATTCTTTTTGTCATTCCTTTACATTTTCTTGGAGCAAGCAATAAGAAGTAAACTTGTTCCAGGCCTGCAAGGGGCTGGGCTGGGGGTAGGTGGAGGGGAGCTGGGGAGGACGCCTGGTGGTGAGACTGGCGTTGGGACGTCGCGTGCCTGAAACGACTCTGTAAATCACATTAGTTTTGTTTTGTTTTGTTTTGCTTTTGGGGTCACACCTGGTGATGCACAGGGGTTATTACTGGCTCTACACTCAGGAATTACTCCTGGCATTGCTAGGGGGACCCTATGGGATGCTGGGAATCGAACCCGGGTCAGTGTGTGCAAGGCAGATGCCCTACCCACTTTGCTATCACTCCAGCCCCAAATCACATTGTTTTCAATTTAAAAAGAAAAAAGAAATAAGATGGGAGAAAATGAATGTGACCCAGTACAGTCTCTGTCATCTATTGGGGGGAATGAACCAATATTTGTTTATTTATTTACTTTTTGCTTTGGGGGCCACACCCAGTGGTAATCAGGGGTTCCTCCTGGCTCTACACTCAGGAGTCACTCCTGGGGGTGCTCGGGGGACCCCACGGGGTGCCAGGGACTGGACCAGGTCAGCCGCATGTGAGGCAGGCACCCTCCCTGCTGTGCTATCGCTCTAGCCCCAGGATCAACAGTTACAAACAAAACTGATGCTCTGGTCTGAGAACCAAGCGCTGTCTTCACTGTTGCCAGGCTGCAAAATTCTGGTCTTACCTTTTTAAGGTCCTATCCTGGAGGGGGGCGGGGGACACTACTGTCGGTCCTAGAGTCGTTAGGGCAAACGTTCACGAGCTCAGACACGGGAAGGATGGGAAGGGCCGCGGCTGTCTCCCAAGCAGAGACTCCCAGTGTCTGAGTGAGGCCCGGCCTCTCCCGCCTTCTCCAGGCAGAGGCTGACAAGGCGTCTGAGTGAGGCGCGGCCTCTCCTGCCTTCTCCAGGCAGAGGCTGACAGTGCGTTTGATGAGGCCCCTCTTACTTTCTCCCGCCAGCTCTCGTCACTCAGCACCTTCTGCCTCAGAGTCTCCTGCAGCTGCTCGATGCTTTTCTGGTGGGAAATCAGCATCAACTCCCTGAAATCGAAACCAGAAGAATGAGTCCCAGCCACTCACAGGCCCCACACACCTGCCCGGGGGTTCTCAGGAGCTCTGCACTCCTGTCACAGGGACGAGGGTCCTGTCATGGGGGTGGGTGTCCCATCATGGGAGCATGTGTCCTGTTATGAGGAGGTATCCTGTCACGGAAACTGGGTCCTGTCATAGGGATGAGTGTCCTGTCATGGAGCATGTGGCCTATCACGAGGACGGGTGTCCTGTCACAGGTGGTGGGTGTCCTGTCACAGGATGGGTGTCCTATCATGAGAGCATATGTCCTGTCATGGGAACGTGTCCTGCCATGGGACAGGAGTCCTGTCATGGGGACAGGTGTCCTGTCATGGAGCATGTGTCCTCTCATGGGAACTGTGTCCTGTCATGGGAGCATGTGTCCTATCATGGAGCATGTGTCCTCTCATGGGAACTGTGTCCTGACATGGAAACATGTTTCCTGTCATGGAGCATGTGTCCTGTCATGGGAACATGTGTCCTGTCATGGGAGCATGTGTCCTATCATGGAGCATGTGTCCTGTCATGGGAACATGTGTCCTGACATGGAAACATGTTTCCTGTCATGGAGCATGTGTCCTGTCATGGGAACATGTGTCCTGTCATGGGAACATGTGTCCTGTCATGGGAACATGTTTCCTGTCATGGAGCATGTGTCCTGTCATAGGAACATGTGTCCTGTCATGGGAGCATGTGTCCTGTCGTAGGAACATGTGTCCTGTCATGGGAACATGTATCCTGTCATGGAGCGTGTGTCCTGTCATGGAAGCATGTGTCCTGTCATGGGAACATGTTTCCTCTCATGGGAACATGCTTCCTGTCATGGAGTGTGTGTCCTGTCATGGGAATGTGTGTCCTGTCATGGGACGGGTGTCCTGTCACAGGACGGGTGTCCTATCATGAGAGCATATGTCTTGTCATGGGAACGTGTCCTGCCATGGGACAGGAGTCCTGTCATGGGGACAGGTGTCCCATCATGGAGCATGTGTCCTGTCATGGGAACATGTGTCCTGTCATGGGAACATGTTTCCTGTCATGGAGCATGTGTCCTGTCATAGGAACATGTGTCCTGTCATGGGAGCATGTGTCCTGTCGTAGGAACATGTGTCCTATCATGGGAACATGTGTCCTGTCATGGAGCATGTGTCCTGTCATGGAAGCATGTGTCCTGTCATGGGAACATGTTTCCTCTCATGGGAACATGCTTCCTGTCATGGAGTGTGTGTCCTGTCATGGGAGTGTGTGTCCTGTCATGGGACGGGTGTCCTGTCACAGGATGGGTGTCCTATCATGAGAGCATATGTCCTGTCATGGGAACGTGTCCTGCCATGGGACAGGAGTCCTGTCATGGGGACAGGTGTCCCATCATGGAGCATGTGTCCTGTCATGGGAACATGTGTCCTGACATGGAGCATGTGTCCTGTCATGGGAACATGTTTCCTGTCATGGAGCATGTGTCCTGTCATAGGAACATGTGTCCTATCATGGGAGCATGTGTCCTGTCGTAGGAACATGTTTCCTGTCATGGAGCATGTGTCCTGTCATAGGAGCATGTGTCCTGTCATGGAAGCATGTGTCCTGTCATGGGAACATGTTTCCTCTCATGGGAACATGCTTCCTGTCATGGAGTGTGTGTCCTGTCATGGGATGGGTGTCCTGTCACAGGACGGGTGTCCTATCATGAGAGCATATGTACTGTCATGGGAACATGTCCTGCCATGGGACAGGAGTCCTGTCATGGGGACAGGTGTCCCATCATGGAGCATGTGTCCTGTCATGGGACTATGTGTCCTGTCATGGGAACATGTTTCCTGTCATGGAGCATGTGTCCTGTCATAGGAACATGTGTCCTGTCATGGGAACATGTGTCCTGTCATGGAGCGTGTGTCCTGTCATGGAAGCATGTGTCCTGTCATGGGAACATGTTTCCTCTCATGGGAACATGCTTCCTGTCATGGAGTAGTGTGTGTCCTGTCATGGGACGGGTGTCCTGTCACAGGACGGGTGTCCTATCATGAGAGCATATGTCCTGTCATGGGAACGTGTCCTGTCATGGGACAGGAGTCCTGTCATGGGGACAGGTGTCCCATCATGGAGCATGTGTCCTGTCATGGGAACATGTGTCCTGACATGGAGCATGTGTCCTGTCATGGGAACATGTGTCCCATCATGGGAGCATGTTTCCTGTCATGGAGCATGTGTCCTGTCATGGGAACATGTGTCCTGTCATGGGAACATGTTTCCTGTCATGGAGCATGTGTCCTGTCATGGGAGCATGTGTCCTGTCATGGGAGCATGTGTCCTGTCATGGAGCATGTGTCCTGTCATAGGAACATGTGTCCTGTCATGGGAGCATGTGTCCTGTCGTAGGAACATGTATCCTGTCATGGGAACATGTGTCCTGTCATGGGAACATGTGTCCTGTCATGGAGCATGTGTCCTGTCATGGGAACATGTGTTCTGTCATGGGAACATGTGTCCCGTCATGGAGCATGTGTGCTGTCATGGGAACATGTGTCCTGTCATGGGAGCATGTGTCCTATCACAGGGACAGTGTCCTGTTATGGAGCATGTGTCCTGTCATGGGAACATGTGTCCTATCATGGGAGCATGTGTCCTGTCATGGGAACATGTGTCCTGTCATGGGAACATGTTTCCTGTCATGGAGCATGTGTCCTGTCATGGGAACATGTGTCCTGTCATGGGAGCATGTGTCCTGTCGTAGGAACATGTATCCTGTCATGGGAACATGTGTCCTGTCATGGGAACATGTGTCCTGTCATGGGAACATGTGTCCTGTCATGGAGCGTGTGTCCTGTCATGGAAGCATGTGTCCTGTCATGGGAACATGTTTCCTCTCATGGGAACATGCTTCCTGTCATGGAGTGTGTGTCCTGTCATGGGACGGGTGTCCTGTCACAGGGACAGTGTCCTGTCCCAGGGGCGGCGTCCTGTCACAGGACTGGCTGGGTAAGCTGTCACCCAGTGAGGTGCCTCTATGACAGGGTCAGGGGCCCATCACGGCGGGTGTCCGGGGAGCTGAGGCAGCAGCCGTGGTACCTTTCCCTGGTCAGGGCAGCCACCTCGTCCTGGCTCTGCCGCAGCAGCGTCTGTGTGAGCCGCAGCTCGTTCTCGGCGAGTCGTGCGCTCGCCCGACTGTGCTCCTCCTGCCTTTCCTTGGTGGCCAGTTCTTCCTGCAAAGTTTTATAGATTTGTTGGCAAGTGACTAGGGAGTCCTCCTTCTCTCTGAGCAATCGTGTGAGCCTACAGCGGGGAGAGGAGAGAGCCCAGCGACGCCTCAGAGAGCGGACGGAGGCACCCCTGGGACAGGCCTGACGGCTCCCGCCTGCCCACGCCGCCCGAACCCGACGACGTCCCCCGGGACACCCTCACCCCAGCCACCGGCTCAGAATGGGACGCCTACCGGGAGTCGGAGAGGATGGACTCGAACTTCAGCTTCCGCAGCTGCGCCTGGCACTCCTCAGCCGCCTGGGATTTCGCTCTAGGGAGTGCAGACAAGGCTGGGGGCACTCAAGGGGGCAGCAGAGACGTTTCCCTGGGAAACATGCTGCTTCTCCCCCTGCTTGTTCCTGGCTTTTCTGTTCTCGCTCTGGGTGCGTGCAGGTTTCGAGTGCTCTAGCCACAGGAAACGTCAAAGCAAAGGCCCTGTGGTCATCTAACCACATTTTTGTCCTGGATCGTGATTTTATTCACTCGCAGAGGAAACGTCTCTGCACCTCTGCACCGCTATTCCTTTAAAACACAGACCCCCCAGTATGCTGAGAAGCATCCCCAGCCCGGCTCTGGGGACGGCCTGAGCCCCAGGGCTGCCCCCTTGGGAGCCTGAGTGCTAGAGGGATGGGAGTGTGCGTGTGTGGGGCCCACTCTGGCAGGGAGGGCCGGCCAGGGGCTGAGGAGCGACGCGCTGGCCAGGGGTCCTGGACAGAAGCCGCCCCTCCATTGACAGAAGGCCCCTCTGGGCAGAGAACTGGGCTCCTGGGGGCCGTACCTGGGGTGGGCTCCCAGCAGGGTGGGCACGGGGTTACACAGACTCCTCCTCATCCCGGGATGAACAGCCCATCTGAGGTAACGGGGAGGGGCTGACTGGTTCTTCCCCCCCTCCCCACCCCTGCTCCTGGCCTCTCCCCTCAGCCCCGAGCTCTGTCCCCGTGTTGGCAGCTGCCCCCATTGGAAGCCACACAGTCACACACTGGCACACGCACATGCACACAGATACACACAGGCACACACGGGTACACGCTCGTGCACACACACAGGCAGAGACACACACAGGCTCACACAGGCACACACGGGTACACACATATGCACACACACAGACACACATTCGCACACAGGCACTCAGGCCACAGATAGTCGCACACATGCTTACACAGGCACACGCAGAGACACACTCACCCATGCACACATGCACACACACACACACACACACACACGCGCGCACGCGTGCGATGCTGGCCCGGCACTTCCTGCCACAGGACTATGGGTCCCTCATTATTTGCGGCACATGGTCCAGAGTATATCAGGCCAGTGGGATTCTTCCTTTCTGTGTTGTTGTGAGTTTTGTTGCCTTGTCTCTAAGATGGTCGTGGTGAGCAAAACATTTGGTTGCTAGGTGTGCTAAATATTTATAGCCCCACACAATCCACTCTCCCCGAATACAGGAACTGAGAACCAGCACCCGCCGGAACCCGCCTTGGGAAGCACCCGTGTGCCGAGCATGTGGCTGAGGCTTTTCCTGCGGATCTGGGGTCAAGGGGGGAAACGAGTGTTCTGAGCCACGCTCAGGCATTCGGGGATTACTCCTGGTCCTGTGCTCAGAGACCCCTCCTGGAGGGGCTCAGGTTCCCGTGTGGTGGGGCGGCTGTTGCAGGGAGAAGGCCTACGTCTGCCTCTCCCTCTGTCCCTCTGGCCCCCTCCGTCCCTCCCTCTCTTCCTCCCTCCATCCCTCCATTTCTCTCCCCGCCCCTCCCTCTCTTCCTCCCTCCATCCCTCCATTTCTCTCCCCGCCCCTCCCTCCGCCCCTCCCTCCATCCTTCCCTCTGCCCCCCTCCTCCCCTCCCTCGTTCCTCCCTCCATCCCTCCCTCTGTTCCTCCCTCCATCCCTCCATTCCTCCCTCCACCCCTCCCTCCCTCCATCCCTCCCTCTGGCCCCGGGATCGGGGAGGCTGCCCTCCCGGGGGCAGGGATGATCTGAGGTGGCTGCTCCTCCGGTTTTCACTAGTCCCCCCCCCCTCCCCCCACGAAGCTTAAACAAGGACAGAAGCATTTAAAAACCCTCCAACCAGGAGCCCAGTGACAGACAGCGGGGGGGAGGGGCTGGCCTTGCATATGCGGATCCTGGTTCCATTCCTGGTACCCCACGAGAGCACTGCCAGGGATGAGCCCTGGATGCAGAGTCAGGAGGAAGCCCTGAGCACCGTTGGTTTTGGTGGGACCCCAAAACCAACAGACACCAAACCCCTTCCCATCTTTGACTTGACCCGTTCGAGGGGGCCTGTTTCTGTGCAGGGTGCGAAGGCCCCAAGGGGCGGGCGGTGAGGGCGGTGAAGCCTGGGCGAGCCACAGGGCAGGGCAGCGGGGCCGGGGGACTCCTTACGTGAGCAGGCCCTGGGCCTCATCCCTCCCACTCAGCGCCTGCTGCAGCTGCTCGCGGAGCGACTCCACTTGACGCTGGAGACCTGAAATGACAATACCACACACGGCTGCCCTCCGGCACGGCTGGACCCCCCATCCCCCACCCAGAGCCTGCACGGCCCAGTTCACCCTGCTCAGACCCAGTATGGCCCAGCATGCCTACTCACTCCTGCTCCGAAAGCCCCTGGGCTCGACCGCCCTCAGCCCTGCTCACAGCTCCCTGGACAGTGGCCAGCCGTCCCCACACGCCCAGCAGCCTCCGGCCCACCTGCCTACGTTAGTTGGCCACAAGTTCCATTTCACTCAGGTTTACACGAAGCAGCAGTCGACGCCCACCCTAGCGGCCGCTCACTTCTAGAACAATCGGCAGTGGCAGGGCAGCTGACAGCCTCACATGAGCTCAGAGGGATGGTCAGCAGCTCCGCCAGCTGAGTGGGCATCCCACACCGCCACATACAGGGAGCACAGGCAGCAAGAGGCTTCCTGGAGGCAGAGCCCAGAGTGAGGGAGGCCGGGGCGGGGCACGGGTGTGGGTGGGCTTTGGGGGCAGAGGTGAGGGTGTGTGTGTGTGGGTTGGGCTGCCCAGGGCCAGAGGTGCGGGGGCACGTGGGTGTGGGTGGGCTTCCAGGGCGAAGGTGCGGGCCGACACAAAAGCTGCAGGCTTGACCCCAGACCTGAAAGCTGAAAGCTGAGAGCTGAGCCCTCCTCCCGTCTCCTGAACGTGAGGCAGAACCCGACCCCCAGGCCCAGCCCAGTCCTGGGGTCCTGGCTGACCCTGTGTCCAACCACTGTCAGGGCCCTGGGGTCGACGTGCAGCCGGGACGGGAAGGGCTGGGAGGCAGCGGGAGGCAGCGGGAGGCAGATGCAGAGCCGGAGCAGGTGTGCTGGGAACAGTGCCGGGAAAGGCATCCTCTTGTGGCGCCTGGCGCTTCCCTCAGGCCGGGGCCTCGGTGCCGACAAGACACAGTTCCTCATTCCCTGAGGAGTCCGAAGCAAAGGCAGGGCCTCCTGCTGCCTCTGCTGGCACGAATCACGCTTCAGACAAGAAACCGATGACCCTTTAAGGGTCGACCTGCGCACATGTCCTCACGTCTTAATGCCTTGGCTTGGCCTGCCGGCTCGCCACCCCGTGGGGAAGCGCCGGGCTTCCGATCGGCTCTACTTGACAAGAATGAACATAATCACCGGCCGCATTCACAGAGCGCTCAGAAGGATGTCTCGGCACTCGGGTTTAGTGAGTTTAGCTCTTTACCTAAAGCACAGATCATTAACACTTTTCTTTTAACGTGCACGGACAAAGGAAACCTTTGCAGATGTAAGGATATAAATCAATAATAGAAGAAAGTTCCTTAATGAGTATTCAACGCCATCAATTGCAAATTAACATATTTTAACTCTAGCAGACGCTTCCAAGCCTCAGATGTGGGGACAGCCGTTCGGGAGCTTCATCCAGGCTTTGTCCCAGAGGTGCCATTCACAGCTATTCTGCAACAAGTGTACTTGAGGTAAATGAGCGTTTTCCGCATTCTTCCCAGAGGAGAGAGTCGCACTGGGCATGTGTCAGGCCCAAAGCAGGTGTGAGGCGCCGTTCAGCCCCGGGGCTGCTCACGGGGCCAAAACCGTGTTAGCTGAGGGGGAGGGGGGAGGTGATCGAGGAGATAACCAGATATTTTCGCATTACAGATGGTTTATATTCTCATTAAAAGCTCAACATTAATATTCTAATGTAAAAAATCCTATAAACCGGACTTCCTCTTCAGCATTGCTGATGCAAAACATGCTTCTAAACCTCTTCTCTCGTCTCCTTCTCTCTCTGTTACCTAGATATAAATATCCTAAACATCCAACCAAGAGGAAACTGCACAGGGAAGCTGAGTGGCCGGTAGAGTAGCATGAACTGCGGGCGGGCAGACAGGCAGGGCCTTGAAGCTCCTGTTTCCTCCCTACCCTGGTTAGAATCATGTAACCACTTTTATCCACTGGCAGAATGAGAGCCCTCTTGTCTGTCTTTTGGAAATAGTCTGATGGTTCTAGAAGTTTCCGGCCATCCGGGTTGAGCGTTCTGGTTTTGGACACATCTGGGTGAGGCCTGCACCATCCTGGCATGTTCCAGCTCTTCCAGGAGGCCACCAGAGCGGGGAGAAGGGGGGGAGGTCCTATCCAGAACACACGACTCGCTGAAACATTTCCGGACAGAGAAGCAAAAGATGAAAGAGAAAACGGGAGCTGGAGAAAGTTCCAGATAAAACAGCTGGCGGTCTTCTCCGGAAGTGCCGTGGAATTCTGTCACTGAACTCTCCCGCGTGATCGCAGAGGGGGTTCTGCAGAGTCCAGGGGCCGGGCCCCTCTTCGCCAAAGCCTAAAGCTCGCGGGCACATACAGGGAAGCTAGCCCCTGCCGTGGCCTTTCTCAGCAGAGGTCCAAGGGTCCAGCAATGACAGGACAGGAGGTGTGAGAGGGAGGCCTGGCAGACTGCTCTGGGCACAGCCTCCGGGGAGATTCCGAGTTCGAGCCTTGGAACAAACTAAAGGTGGCGAGACAGATTTCAGTGGATGATCTGGAGTCCTCTCCTGGCAAGATTCTCAGGGGAAGGAGGTTCAAGAAGCCTGGGGCCATGTCACAGCCGCTCATTGGGAGGGGGAAGCAGTGGGGACAGTAGCAGCTGGGGCAGGGCGCAAAGCACCAGCCTGGGGGGGGGGGGGGACGCGAGCCCCACAGGGGAGTCAGGGTTAGTCGGCTCCAGTTACTGTATCACTGGAGTGAGGGCTAGTCTACTCCAGTTACTGCATCCTGGGCCCTGCAAGAGAGTGAGTCTGCTCCAGTTACTGCATCACAGGAGTGAGGGTTAGTCTGCTCCAGTCACTGCATCACTGGAGTGAAGACTAGTGTACTCCAGTTACTGCATCACGGGCCCTGCAGGGGAGTGAGGGCTAGTTTGCTCCAGTCACTGCATCACGCGAGTGAGGGCTACTCTGCTCCAGTGACTGCATCACGGGCCCTGCAGGGGATTGAGGGCTAGACTGCTCCAATTACTGCATCACAGGCCCTGCAGGGGAGTGAGGGCTAGTCTGCTCTAGTTAGTGCATTGCTGGAGATTCAGTTCTGACATAGACTGCCTCCCTCAGCACCTGGGATACTGTGTAACTCTGGGTTTTCAATATCTACCCAAAGGCTCTATTTCAAAGACAAATGGCAAAAGTTGAATTGTTTTTTTCTTTTTCGCCTGCTGTTTGTTTTGTTTGTGGTCCACTTTCAGCCCCGCTCAGGGCCGACTCCTGGGTCTGTGCTCAGGAATTACTCCCGGTGGCCCATGGTCGGGGGACCATATGCGGTCTGTGGATCTGATCTGCATCAGTCATGTGAAGACGAGCACCTTCCCCTCTGTGCCATCTCTTGGGCCCCAAAGTTGAAAAGTTTTATGTTACAGAGATGATATACTGAAATCAAATCGAAGGGTTTTTTTTTTTTTATGATTTAAATGAAACCCCTCCCCCCGGGCTGGAGCAATAGCACAGCGGGGAGGGCGTTTGCCTTGCACGCGGCCGACCCGGGTTCAATTCCCAGCATCCCATATGGTCCCCTGAGCACCGCCAGGAGTAATTCCTGAGCACAGAGCCAGAGTAACCCCTGTGCATTGCCAGGTGTGACCCAAAAAGCAAAAAAAAAAAAAAAACCCTAAAATCTCTGGAAGGCCCAGCAGCCATGCCCACTCCCCATATCTCCTCACCCACCCACCCTGCTCTTCAGGTTCACCAACTAAATCTCTGAAGAGATGCGCACCAAGCAGCTGGATTCACGGACACAACAGTCACCTGGTGAAAACTTTGGGGCACCCTTGGGAGGGGGTGGGCAGACCCCACCCTGACGAATCCCCTGCACCGCACAGCCTGACCCCACGGCTTCCCTCAGAACCTCTGCAGTCCCCCCAGTTCGCCAGATCCCGAGGTTCCTTGATGTTGCGACATTCCTAATTCCTAGTCCTGAGGTCCCAGTAGGAGCTCACCAAATTAAGTGCGAAAGTAACAGAGGAACCGACTGAACTCAGCAAACAGAAGCACCAACACAGAGACATGACTCATGACCCACAGCTCAGTAAACCCTCAAAGACTTAGCCCTGCAGTGAGACGAAACAATTTTCACAAGTTTTCTCTCACTGGAGAATTTTTGGTAATTCCTTTAGCATTTGGTTGTAACAAGCAATATGAAGTAAATTACCTTGTGCCTGCTGAGAAGACAGGCGTGGGGGTGGGGTGGGAAAATGGGACAGTGGTGGAGGCGGTCACCCAGCTGGTGGGACCCGTGGTGGGACATGAAAGCCCATAACAATGGTATTACGGACAACTTCGCAAACCACGGTGTTTAAATAAAGTGAAAAAAAATATTTGGAAGAAATAAAGTATTCTGACACCTCTGAAAAACAACAAATAAAAAAGAAAAATGCAGCATCAAAGTATAAAAACAGGAACCTTGGAAACAAGCAAATCGTATTCGAATTAGTAATGGAATCACTGTTTGCTAATTTCCCCCTTTCTCTCTGCGTTTTGGGGACACTCCTGCTGACCAGTCCCTCTCTCCGGCCCCAAACACGGTTTCTTGGTGCTTCAGAGGCCTCGAGGCACGCCCAAGGGCACCCCGCAGCACTGGACACGCACCATGTGACAGGTGGACACGTCCCTACTCCGGGGCGGGCGTGGTGGACAGCAGCAGTCACTGGTATCCTGGAGCCTGTCCTTGGGAGGGTGGCCAGCCAACAGATATGGGGACGGCTGAGCGGTGGGAACGGTCCCAGGAGCCGGAGCCGGGGCAGGGGCTGACCCTGGGCAGGCAGCAGGACAGTGGCGCCTCTCACTCCTGGGCGCGAGACTGAGGGCTCTGGGTACCCCCCACTCCTGGCTTGGTGCTTGGGGGTCACTCCTGGGAGTTCAGGGGCCCACTGCAGTGCGGGATGGATCCAGGCCGCACAGCTCTGACCGATCCGGCCCTAGCAAGGCAGCTCTCGGGGTCGGGCTGGGCTTCTCGGCCTACGAACAGCTTCTCTCCGAGTCTCCCTGCTGGGCTAGGCCACCCTCGGGCACCTGTTTCCCTGCCACACCCTTCTCACCCGCCTCCAGCGTGCCCAGCCTGGGGACAGGCAGAGAGCAGCCTCACTGCCCGCCCGACACGCTAGAGCCAAGGCCCAGGGTAGCCCGGCCACCCCACTTGGCCTCCCCAGAATCCCACCCTGCGCGGGGCCCAGCGGGCTAGTCCCGGGGTCCCCCTGCCCCACCTTACCCAGCGCTTCCTGCTGCAGCTCCCGGCACTGGCCCTCCAGGTGTCCCCGCTGACCCTGCAGTTCCTCTTGTAGGGATGTCGCCGCTGTCAGGCTCGTCTGCAGCCGCTGCAGCTCTGCCAGGAGACAGAGATGGCGGTGCCAGGACGGACCCAGCCTCGGGAGATGGAGGCGAGCCCCCTGCCCCACGGGCCCCTGCGCCCCACACGGCTGGCCGGGCCGGAGGCCAGCCGAGTGCCCCTGCCCACCTGTGGCAGCAGCAGCGCTTCCGGCCCTGACGTGCAGCAGCACCTGAGCAGACACTGCGGCCCAGTCCTGCAGCCTGGTGCCCACAAGGGTCCTGACGGCGCTCAGCTCCTTCCTGGTCTCAGCGAGCAGGGCGCGGGTCTGGGAGCAGAGGCGGCCGTACACCTCCAGCCTCCGGCTGCAGGTTGGGGGGGGAGCCGGGAGGAGCCATTGGGGGCATCAACACGGGGGCTGAGAGCCACGTGCACCCACCCGTCAGCCCCCAGCCCCGACCTCTGCCCTCGGCTGCCCCTTCCCTCAGGGACCCCATGCTTCAGGGGGCGACTTTGGGTGGACCGAGCACTGGGCCTAGAGCACCCCATGTTTGGCCACAGGACATGGCTCTGCAGTGAGCGGAGGGCATCTGGGTCCAGATGAGGCCTCCAGGGTGACCCAGGACTCTGGGAAGCAGCTGTCTGCCCAACTCGTGCCCACTGGGGGGCACTTTCACGCACTCTCTTCATCGAGCCCCAGCGCACGTTCTGGGGTTTGGCGGGGGGTGGGGGGTGGGGCACCTGGGGCGCGTGGGCCAGGTTGGGGACTGCAGCGTGGCCCCACACAGCCCATCCCCCGTGGCACCCCTTGGCGTCTCTGGGGGACCCTTGCCCCTGGCTCTCTGCGCCGTGGGTGCATCTGAACGCGAACACCCCAGTTCCCCACAACCCGCCTCACGGAGCGCAGATGCCCTCCACCGTCAGCCACTGAAGCTCCCCTAAGAGTGACCAGATGCCCGGGAGGCCACGGCATATAGCACTGCTCTGAATTCTTTCCCAGCCTGGCCAATCCTCGGTGAGGGCCCAGCCAGTCGCTGTCCCAGGCCCAGAGCCTCCCCCAGCACATGAGGCCTCCACTGCCCTTCCCTCCTGCTGACCCTGGGCAAGGCTCGCGCCTCTCTTGAAAACGCGTGGTGGAGAATGACGGCACGTGGCGGGGTGGGCATCACTGTGTTTGTGCACCGGGTCTGCGAGGGCGCACGATGCTGTCCCAGCCACAAGTTGACGTGGGCAGTGGGGACACTGGGCCCCGGGTCTCACAGCTGGAGGCAGGTTCTGTGACTTCTGGGCCCCGCTGACCTGAAGTGAGTCCTGCCCTGGGGGGCATCGGGACTCTGGGCAGACCCGGGTCAGCACCAGGGCGGGAACACGGCGAGCTCTGAGGGTCTGAGTGGAATGGGGGGGGGTCCCCTGGAGAGTGTCTGGACAGGTCCAGGCGGATTCCTGGGGACATTCCTCTGCTTCGTGTCTACTCACTGCAATACGAGGCGACTCATGGAGGAGCATTATGACCTCGACACCCGAGAGCTCAGGCCAAGACGCCAAGAAAGGCGGGTGGACCCCGGGCAAGGTGGACAGCTCAGGGCATGCAGGCACAGGGGCAGTGGGCAGTCCACGACACAGCGGGCAGTGCATGGGCGCAGTGGGCAGTGCGTGGGTGCAGTGGACAGAAGCCGCCCACCTGGGGAAATAGTTTCCAAACAGAACAATTTTGGTATTAATGGCAGACTGAAAAATTTTTAAAAATTTAACAATGGAAATGGTATCCAGGGGCTGGAACAGATAGGCCCCCAGTGCGGGCAGGAAGCCCCCCGCACCCCGGCCCCCCAGAACTTCTTGGCTGGCTGGCACCCTGTTCTCCTGCCAGAGGAGACACTCCTAAGGCGACGGGACGGAGACCTTCCCACCAGGTGCACCCACCACCCAGCCCACCGGCTCTCAGTTCCTGGGGAGTTGGACCAATAGCCCCACAGGGGGACTGTGACCCCCCAGGCCCCGCAAGCCCTCTGGCAGTCACAGGTGCCCCTTGACTCCTGGGGCCCCACCTGAAGCCCCGGGACGAGGCGCTCTCCGCCTCCAACTCCTGCTTCAGGTGACCCAGCTCCTCCTGGGCGCCCCGAAACGCGTCTTGCTGGCTTTTTAACTGCATGTTTGCATCTTGGATCCTAAAAATAGAAACAAAAACCATCCAGTAGAGGCCGAAATACCTGCTCACAGGCTCTTCTACTGTTTACACTTTTAGTAAGAGCGAATAAAGAAGAAAGTGCTCATCATTATCAGCCACGATTGCCCAGGGCAGGGCACAGGAGAGAAGGTGTAGGATGGACTCTTCCTCCCTCTCTCCTTTCTTCCTCCCTCCCTCTTTCCTTCCTTCCTTCATCCCGTCCTCCCTCCCTCCTTCCTTCCTTCATCCCATCCTCCCTCTCTCCCTTTCTTCCTTCTCTTCTTCCCTCCTCCCTCTCCTTTCTTTCTCTCCTTCCTTCCTTCCTTCCTTCCTTCCTTCCTCCTTCCCTCTCCCTCCTTCCCTTCCTCCTTTCCTCCTTTCCTTCCCATCAAGCAATAAATACATTTGACAAATTAATCAAAGGATCACCAAACGAACATTAATTTAATCAGCATTCAAGTAATCCATGTGCGAATCCCGAGTGTCAAGAATCCCTCGGGAGCATAAGGGACTGCCAGCAGTCACCTCGCTCTGTCCAGTGCTTGTTGGCAGAAATGACCACTTTCAGCCCTTTGCCTGGCTCCTTCTGCGTTTCTCGTATGCTGTAGGTTACAGAACAATCCGGCTTTGGGTTACCGCCATGTTTCGCTGAGAGACCCCTAGGATGTCAAACCGCTGCTGTGGATCCTCCCAGGGGTACAGGTGGGTTCCACGCTGCCAGGAGGGCAGGACCCCCAGGCCTTCTGCTGTTGCTGGCATGTGATGTGGGCGAGACCCCCAGACTCCTGCCCGCAGACCTCAGCAGCCCTGCCCTTCGGAGTGCTCTGACACTCCTCCACTGGCCATCTGGGGCCGGGCTGGGCTCTGGGCTGGGCCCAGGGCTCAGGCTTTGCCCTGACCCTTGCAGTGCCCAGGCTCTGATTTGGAAGGTACAGGGAAGCCCTTGTGTGTGAGGGCGGTGTGAGGGTCTCATTGTTGGAGGCCACGCCCAGCAGTGCTTGGGGCTTACTCCTGACTCGGTGCTCAGGGATCCTTCCTGGTGGGGTCAGAGGGCCATATGGGGTGACAAGAATCAAAGCAGGGTCAGCCGTGTGCAGGATAGACGCCTTCCCCCTGTACTAACACTCCAGCCCCTGTGTAAGTCTGTCTGACTGTGCTGTGTGAGCCTGAGTGTGTGTGAGGGTGTATGAGTATCCTGAATGTGAGTATGCCTGATGGTTGTGTGAATATGCCTGATGTGTGTGTGTCCTAGTGTGTCTGAGTGTGTGGGTGTGCCTGAGTGTGTTTGGGGGTGTGTGTCTGTGTGTGTGGGTGAACGTGTGGGTGTGAGTGTGTGAGGGTGTGTGTGGGTGAGCATGTGGGTGTGTGTGTGTGTGACGGTGTGTGTCTGAGTGTGTGTGGGTAAGCATGTGGGTGTGTGCGAGTGTGTGTGAGTGAGCATATGCGTGTGTGCAAGTGTGTGTGGGAGTGTATGTGAGTGTATGGGTAAGCGTGTGGGTATGTGCAAATGTGTATGGGTGAGCATGTGGGTGTGTGAGGGTGTGTGTCTGAGTGTGTGTGGGTGAGCGTGTGGGTGTGTGCGAGTGTGTGTGAGTGAGCATATGCGTGTGTGCAAGTGTGTGAGAGTGTATGTGAGTGTATGGGTAAGCGTGTGGGTATGTGCAAATATGTGTGGGTGAGCATATGGGTGTGTGCGAGTGTGTGTGGGTAAGAGTGTGGGTGTGTGCAAGTATGTGTGAGGGTGTGGGTGAGCGTGTGTGTGTGTGGGTGAGTGTATGGGTGTGTGCGGGTGTGTGTAAGGGCGTATGTGAGTGTACGGGTAAGCGTGTGGGTGTGTGTGGGTGTGTGTGAGGGTGTGTGTCTGAGTGTGTGGGGGTGAGCGTGTGGGTGTGTGCGAGTGTGTGTGAGTGAGCATATGCGTGTGTGCAAGTGTGTGTGAGAGTGTATGTGAGTGTATGGGTAAGCATGTGGGTATGTACAAATGTGTGTGGGTGAGCATGTGGGTGTGTGTGTGTGAGGGTGTGTCTGAGTGTGTGTGGGTGAGTATGTGGGTGTGTGCGAGTGTGTGAGTGAGCATATGCGTGTGTGCAAGTGTGTGTGGGAGTGTATGTGAGTGTATGGGTAAGCGTGTGGGTATGTGCAAATGTGTATGGGTGAGCATGTGGGTGTGTGTGAGGGTGTGTGTCTGAGTGTGTGGGTGAGCGTGTGGGTGTGTGCGAGTGTGTGAGTGAGCATATGCGTGTGTGCAAGTGTGTGTGAGTGTATGTGAGTGTATGGGTAAGCGTGTGGGTATGTGCAAATGTGTGTGGGTGAGCATGTGGGTGTGTGCGAGTGTGTGTGGGTAAGAGTGTGGGTGTGTGCAAGTATGTGTGAGTGTGTGAGGGTGTGTGTCTGAGTGTGTGGGGGTGAGCGTGTGGGTGTGTGCGAGTGTGTGAGTGAGCATATGTGTGTGTGCAAGTGTGTGTGAGAGTGTATGTGAGTGTATGGGTAAGCGTGTGGGTATGTGCAAATGTGTGTGGGTGAGCATGTGGGTGTGTGCGAGTGTGTGTGGGTAAGAGTGTGGGTGTGTGCAAGTATGTGTGAGGGTGTGGGTGAGCGTGTGTGTGTGTGTGGGTGAGCGTATGGGTGTGTGCGGGTGTGTATAAGGGCGTATGTGAGTGTACGGATAAGCGTGTGGGTGTGTGTGAGTGTGTGTGAGGGTGTGTGTCTGAGTGTGTGTGGGTGAGCATGTGGGTGTGTGCGAGTGTGTGTGAGTGAGCATATGCGTGTGTGAGAGTGTATGTGAGTGTATGGGTAAGCATGTGGGTATGTACAAATGTGTGTGGGTGAGCATGTGGGTGTGTGTGAGTGTGTGTGAGGGTGTGTGTCTGAGTGTGTGTGGGTGAGCGTGTGGGTGTGTGCGAGTGTGTGAGAGAGCATATGTGTGTGCAAGTGTGTGAGAGTGTATGTGAGTGTATGGGTAAGCGTGTGGGTATGTGCAAATGTGTGTGGGTGAGCATGTGGGTGTGTGCGAGTGTGTGTGGGTAAGAGTGTGGGTGTGTGCAAGTATGTGTGAGGGTGTGGGTGAGCGTGTGTGTGTGTGGGTGAGTGTATGGGTGTGTGAGGGTGTGTGTAAGGGCTTATGTGAGTGTACGGGTAAGCGTGTGGGTGTGTGTGTGAGGGTGTGTCTGAGTGTGTGTGGGTGTGTGCGAGTGTGTGTGAGTGAGCATATGCATGTGTGCAAGTGTGTGTGAGTGTATGTGAGTGTATGGGTAAGCGTGTGGGTATGTGCAAATGTGTGTGGGTGAGCATGTGGGTGTGTGCGAGTGTGTGTGGGTAAGAGTGTGGGTGTGTGCAAGTATGTGTGAGGGTGTGGGTGAGCGTGTGTGTGTGTGGGTGAGTGTATGGGTGTGTGCGGGTGTGTATAAGGGCGTATGTGAGTGTACGGGTAAGCGTGTGGGTGTGTGTGAGGGTGTGTGTCTGAGTGTGTGGGGGTGAGCGTGTGGGTGTGTGCGAGTGTGTGTGAGTGAGCATATGCGTGTGTGCAAGTGTGTGTGAGTGTATGTGAGTGTATGGGTAAGCGTGTGGGTGTGTGTGAGTGTGTGTGAGGGTGTGTGTCTGAGTGTGTGTGAGGGTGTGTGTCTGAGTGTGTGTGGGTGAGCATGTGGGTGTGTGCGAGTGTGTGAGAGAGCATATGTGTGTGTGCAAGTGTGTGAGAGTGTATGTGAGTGTATGGGTAAGCGTGTGGGTATGTGCAAATGTGTGTGGGTGAGCATGTGGGTGTGTGCGAGTGTGTGTGGGTAAGAGTGTGGGTGTGTGCAAGTATGTGTGAGGGTGTGGGTGAGCGTGTGTGTGTGTGGGTGAGTGTATGGGTGTGTGAGGGTGTGTGTAAGGGCTTATGTGAGTGTACGGGTAAGCGTGTGGGTGTGTGTGAGGGTCTGTCTGTGTGTGGGTGTGTGCGAGTGTGTGTGAGTGAGCATATGCATGTGTGCAAGTGTGTGTGAGTGTATGTGAGTGTATGGGTAAGCGTGTGGGTATGTGCAAATGTGTGTGGGTGAGCATGTGGGTGTGTGCGAGTGTGTGTGGGTAAGAGTGTGGGTGTGTGCAAGTATGTGTGAGGGTGTGGGTGAGCGTGTGTGTGTGTGGGTGAGTGTATGGGTGTGTGCGGGTGTGTATAAGGGCGTATGTGAGTGTACGGGTAAGCGTGTGGGTGTGTGTGAGGGTGTGTGTCTGAGTGTGTGTGGGTGAGCGTGTGGGTGTGTGCGAGTGTGTGTGAGTGAGCATATGCGTGTGTGCAAGTGTGTGTGAGAGTGTATGTGAGTGTATGGGTAAGCATGTGGGTATGTACAAATGTGTGTGGGTGAGCATGTGGGTGTGTGTGTGAGGGTGTGTGTCTGAGTGTGTGTGGGTGAGTATGTGGGTGTGTGCGAGTGTGTGTGAGTGAGCATATGCGTGTGTGCAAGTGTGTGTGGGAGTGTATGTGAGTGTATGGGTAAGCGTGTGGGTATGTGCAAATGTGTATGGGTGAGCATGTGGGTGTGTGTGAGGGTGTGTGTCTGAGTGCGTGGGTGAGCGTGTGGGTGTGTGCGAGTGTGTGAGTGAGCATATGCGTGTGTGCAAGTGTGTGTGAGTGTATGTGAGTGTATGGGTAAGCGTGTGGGTATGTGCAAATGTGTGTGGGTGAGCATGTGGGTGTGTGCGAGTGTGTGTGGGTAAGAGTGTGGGTGTGTGCAAGTATGTGTGAGGGTGTGGGTGAGCGTGTGTGTGTGGGGGTGAGTGTATGGGTGTGTGCGGGTGTGTGTAAGGGCGTATGTGAGTGTACGGGTAAGCGTGTGTGTGTGTGAGTGTGTGAGGGTGTGTGTCTGAGTGTGTGGGGGTGAGCGTGTGGGTGTGTGCGAGTGTGTGAGTGAGCATATGTGTGTGTGCAAGTGTGTGTGAGTGTATGTGAGTGTATGGGTAAGCGTGTGGGTATGTGCAAATGTGTGTGGGTGAGCATGTGGGTGTGTGCGAGTGTGTGTGGGT